TCATCCAACTTTTGAACAACTGGCACCTGGAGTTCAAGCATACCAAACATAATGCGTTTTCAAAAGTCCCCCTTTTAAATCTCGAAGAAAGCAAAGCAAAGTATTTTCGTTCACACTGGCTTTTTTTGCATCTTTTTCACCTTACCACACTAAAACGGTTGGAGACGGTACCATCGAGCGAGACCTTGTATTACGCATGTGTGAAATCATTATCTCGACCCCAATTAATTAAAGCGTTGAGGTAATCATATGTGGTCCTTCGTAGGCTTTGTGCTTTTCCCCCTGCGCTGGAAAACATTTGATTCTTAACAGCAAAGACTATACTCAATGAAAACAAAATGTTCAAATTATCGTAGGATATTCGCTTCGTGTATTTTCTGTTAAATGTAGTTGAATAATAAATTCCCTAACGGGGCATAAACAAGGAAATATATCCTGTCTCAGCTCAACTTATAAGCTCTCAATGCAAGCGGTAATGTCATCTGCGAGCGTCTCACGGATCGAAAGAAACGTTTTTCGTTGAGTAGCAGAGTGGGTAGGATGTAGCTTAGGAAAGGATGCGTCCTCAACAATTCGAGTACTTGACGAAAGGATTACAGCAGTGGCTTTCTTCGGCTAGCCCCTGACGGACTGGAGGCGGTGACTATGGAGGTCTTGTGGCTCAAAGCTTGAGGCATTAAGTACATTAATCTTTTTCAAATGAATTTTACCACCAAAGAGAATCGACACGCACGCGCAATAGCACATCGAGATACCCCCGGCTGGAGAGTGAGCCTTTGGTCAAGGCTGCTTAAACTAGATTTATACGCCATGAGAAGAACACAAATAAATAGTAAGAAAAAAAAACTACTAGACGGAGGACAGGAGTGAGATTTGATGTTATGAAACTCACTATTATCCGATACAAACTTTCATGATACTCACTAAAGAGGGCTTTTCAGCGACAAATGAATACAATAATTACACTTAAGATAATACGACAAAACGATAGTAAGTCTAAAAATTACAATGATACAATGTTTTTATATAAAAGAATAAGAAAGCTAAAAAACGTTCGCTAAAATTACAAGATAAAAACTTTATAACGAAAAAAGTAGCTAAGACTGACAGGAAAGGAAAGCGGAGAATAACTTGGCTCTAAGTTTATGCTTAAAATTAAGAACAGAGTTGCAGAGTTTAAAGGAATTGTCCAAACTGTTCCACAGACTTACGTTACAGAATGTCCTTTGTCCAGAATAAGGGAATTTGCAAAAGTTGAGAAATTCTAGTCGTGCGACTACTTACTTCACCACGTGATAGAAACTTCGATGGTAAGTGGGAGCAGAGCCAGTCATACACTTGAAAGCAAGCACGACGTCACTGAATTATTGTAGCAGTTCTTCCCTGCAAAACCAGGGACGCATGTGCAATTGTAGTCATTGACTATGAATATCGATTAAAGAAACGGATTTATGCCAAATAAAATATAGTTCTTATTTTCAACGTTTTTATATCGAGCGGTCTATTCCTTGCCGTGGTTTTTAGATGGTCGAAAGCACGGTTTTTTAAACCGTCTCAGCCAAAAACCTTCTTAATTTTAGAAAATTAAAAGCTCCAGTTAGGAGAGAGTCGGGTTAATTGACATTTATCCCGCGATCAATAACTGTGACGCACGCTTTTTGTCTCGCTATGAGAGCGAGACAAAAGGAGGGGCATAAATAGAACAATCCTTTAAACTCCTAGCCGTCGTGCAATCATCAATTAGAGCTGTAGATCACAAAATCCTTCTTTACTTCCGCCGCCACCTTGGCTGTCTCCTTTGAAATCTTTACAGTTCTTGTGTTAACCTTTTCAAACAACTCGATGGGCGTTTATGTATCCCCACCTTTGTGGAAGGAATTATTGTGAGGTACCTGTCGTTATAGGAGGAGGTTTTAGAGGACAGAATTGTTATACCGTGCCTGTTTCATTCGATTAAACGGAGTGTGCCGTAGACACAAAATAAAATTTGTTCACAGTTGACTACCTTTTTTTGTACACAATCCCGTCAAGTAAGGGGAAAAACGATAATAAAGGGCATTATCACCTTTCATAGTTTTACCAAGCCAATACACTGCAATGTGTTTTATTGAAAAGTTTCGGCACCTATCATTCTAAAAGCTTCGCGAAACTAACATTTCTTTTTGCATATTGTCTTTGGTTTTGATATTTGACATTGAAAACGTGGTAGAGGTCATCATAGAAGAACACTGGTATCCTATACAAGATTGTAACCAGCCGGAGGGGGACATCAGGTAGTAACTAGGTGGTTGCACAGGATAATTACAGATCAATTATACATGAATTAGTTTCTACTGATGTTTATTTGGAAACGCAAATGTATGAGGCTCCGAAAAAATACATACGTTTGTCAAACATTGTTTATTTCCGAACCCAGTAAATCTAGTAAAGAAAAAAAAGACTATACCAGGGCATAGCCCTTTAGTTCATTTTGATGGATATAGTTGCAACCCCTCCGGCTGCAATTTAATATTGTTATGGCCTCAAGCAGGTTTCGCGGCGATTCCGTTCTGCTCTGTTCCTTGAAAACCGATTAGCTCTAAAAATAACTTACTCAAATTCTAACCCAAAATTGAATTTTCTTATCGTAGGGCAGTGTATTTTTACTTCTTGAAACTAAGCCTCTTCATAAAATCTTCCAATAGCAAGGTTTCCTAAGATTTTTGGCTTTACAATGGATTAAAATACAGATAATATACCTTACTCCAGATGTAGGGCTTCAGGACTACGTCCTTGGATCGGATACCAAAAGGGAAAACAACGAATAAAAATTCATAGTGTTAGCTTGTAAGTAAAGGCAGGCAATTTAAAAGCTACTGACACCACGATAGTTTTGAATGCTTAGCAACAGTACTGCGAAAGTAGGTAGCCTGGTAACATGGTTCCAGAAAACAGGAATACCAACTGGCGGTTGGTTGACCTAACAAGGGTTTTACAGAACGCTTTTAAAATAGTAGTCTTTTATACTCTGTTGACTGTCAAATAATTAAGAGATCAACTTGGAAGAAAGAAAAAAAATGGAATAAAAACCCAGTTTAAAAGACAAACTCCTCTTTGGACTGAATTGCGATTGTCCTCAAAACTAATGGCTATAAAATGGTTTTGTCATACCAAGTGGAAATGCAGACCCATTAATGCTTACTGTAAGGATTAGGGTTAGAAAGAAAAAGAGTTACGGCGTGAGAGATATTGGAGCTATTCATTATAGAGTCGTAACTACCATGTCTTTCAGAAAGGAGCAGATATATGTTAAAACCTACAAAGTTACAAATAGATAGCGGGGTCCTGGATTATGCCAGAACGACGAAAGGAAGCCACGAGATATTCCCTTCTTGTTCCAAGTTGATTACTTATCCAAGAGATGGGAAACAACAGAATTAAGCTACCACATAATTTAACACGACGTAACTATTTTAAAAGGAAGTATATCATTTTAAAAAGGAACCATATTTGCCACAGGGTGTCTATTCACGCTACATGTCGCCTGTAAGTGAAATGATATTAGTGCTCTAATGAAAGCAATGTACCTGTCAATGGAGGCGTGTTGATTTGGGACCGTGGAAGGAACTTGTCTGTAATAAATATGACATCAGATTAAGCTAGTAAGGTTGCATCTATAAAAACGCCAACAGATCGTATCAGCTTCACCTTCAGTCTCCAGCAGCACTGCAGAGCAAACTAGAAACTGCTTTGGGTAAGTTGAGTTTCTACCTTTTGTGATGAAGATAAGTTCGACAGCCTTTCTTATACTACGCTAGCTTCCTGGAACGATATGATTGATCTGAACGTTGTTTGCCTCTGTTTCAGAATGGGATATTTAAAATTATGATAGAAAATTTATAATCAGTGTGAAGCGAATGGTAGCTTTTTAGTACTTTCAGACAGTCGTAGTTAATGAGATAAACCAGTGGCAAGGCCTTTTCCAGTTTGCTTAAAAATCTGAAGAAAACTGTAACTGTATTTCTTATTCATACTCGTCAAGTGTATAATAACCACACTAACCATGATATCCCTTATCCCTTCGTGTGAAATATCCACAATATAATGACCAGACGGTCATTTTTTCCATGCACTTTCTTTGGCGTCGACCTTCGAACGCGCGCGCTCCCTTGAAGAAAAAATGATCCCAGGTTAACCATACCTGTATTTTTAACTTTTATTTTTCTTCAAATTTCCGATATCACGCACGCTCAGGAACTGTCCATTTCTTACCTCTCGTACATTAATGTTCTATCACTGATTTGTTTCAAACAAATCTACGCATTGCTAACTGGGATTAAATCAAGTCACAAAAAAGTTGAGCATTGAATATTTAGTCATCCTATATATTACTAAAGACTTCAAGATAACATTCACTCCCTTTTGTTAAACGCAGATGAAGGTTTGAGAAACATGTTAACGTTTCTCGTTGTTTCACTTTTGTACCACGTTTGGTTCATGGTTCCCTTATGGCAGGCTCAAGCACAGGGTAGGTAACTTCTTGTTTGACTCGCCATGCAAATGTAGAGTCAAGGTACGTTTCCAGGAAGAAAGCAAAGCTCTATTCATCAAACACAGAACCTAAATAAAGTACAGTCATCATTACCATCTTCTCATATTTCCATTTTGTCATATCACTTACATCAATAAGGGCTCTTTTCAGGAATAAGTCTTCCAGCACACCTAGTACCTTCATTAATTTTGTCAACCTCTCGAGACTCGGTATAAAGCTTGTGATTGTACTAATTGAAAATGCACGCTTGTTCACAAAAGTCACATTTGGACCTTGTGTAAAAACTAAAACCTACAACTGTTATTCGTTCAAAATATTTCGTCATTTCTGATGGTCTTTAATCTTCCGGCTAATTCTTAAGAGCCAGCTGACGCTGATCAAATTAGAAAGACCAGATTAATTGGGAGCAATATACCAGCGTTACGGTTGCATATTGCTCCAACATATAACTGCGGCGCCATTGTTTTCCATGTTATGCTTTGATTTTGGTTTGTACAATAAAGCATGTGAAGAAAAACAAGTCATTTACATGAGTTTACCTCTTCTCCCGTTAGTTTCTCCTGCTTGTGTCTCCAATAATGAAAAGAAATTTGATTTCGAGGTTAAAGGCGAAGAAAATTGTTTCAAGCCCACTCCACCAACGTCCGGTACCGTAACAAGATCCAACAACATGGTTGTTGTCAAGCATGGTTCACATTCTTTGAAGTGGATGGCTTTTAGTGCCTCTAGCCTGAAACTGGATTTGAAACTTCGACCAGGGTCCGAAATTCCAAATGACTGGTTGAGACGAGGGGGAGTAAAAGTTTGGTTTTACAAAGAAAGGCCATCACCAGGGAAAACATTAACTGTAGAATTTAAAAATTCTGGAAAACCTGTTGCCAGATTTCAAGCTAATCTTGACTTTGAAGGGTGGAGAGGAGTGTGGGTCAAATTCCATGAATGCAAAATTGATAGTGCCAGCTTGAAAAAACCGACTGTAATTAATGAGGTCAACTTTGTCCTTAACGGGGCGGACACAATTTACATAGATTTTCTTCAGTTTCTGAAAAGTATTGTTGGCCAGTCCCGCGACAAAGTTGTTCCTCCTATTAGTCCATTTGGCTTGGAAATCTATGGCATAGGAAACACCTGGCAGCAGACTTATAAGTGGAGTCAACAAGCCATTCCTTCATTACCTTCGACAGTCGACAAGTCCAAAAAAATTAGCCTAGAATTGATCGAAAGCCGTCTGATTAACTGGTACTGCGCTGAAAACAAAACTTCTCCCCACTTTCCAAGTGGCAGCTTTCTCAGGAGTCGTTGGAATTCCCTCTCAAGGATTATCAAAAAGGCACATGAAGAGTACGATAAACTAGACCTGGATTCGATCAGTGGTAAAGTCATAGGTCCACCTCTCTTCTGCCGAGACTGCAGAGGTTCTGAAAAGTTTGGTACCATTTTAGAAAAAATCCTCTTACCCTTATCACTTGAATTTTACATAAGATCTCGAAGCAAAGAAATAAAAGATACTGTAGCTGCGTTTCTGGGTGACCTTAACTCTGACGCCAAGGGCAATGCCTTTAAAGCCATTGCAGGTGACAACCAAAACATGATAAATCAATTAAAAAGCTACCTTCCCCCTTCAGGGCGTCTTACCCTTGACCTAGTGAAAAAGGCAATAATTAAACTCAACCTTCATCGTCTAAACAAGATCAACAACATTCTAGATTATATAAAGCAACAAGGATTTGCAGACGGCAGTGGCCTTGGATCATTGGACCACGAGTGGAATCGAAACGGAGCTGGATTTATGCATAGTCTGTTCCTTATTAAGAACTCTCTTAAAAAAAAATCCAAATTGTTGGACTTGATAAAGACAGCCAAATGGTTCAATGAGTTTGGAGAGATTTATCAATCGCCCTCGTTTGAAATCAAAGGAACGACTGCTGACCGAATGATCACGCTGATGTTGTTTAGATTGATGACTGTCCTGGTAATGCCAAGTAGCACTGATGATGAAATCAAAGCCAAAATTCGAGACATGGAATCCCTAGTTCGGTGGATGAACAACGCTCTGGCTGTGAACGAAGGTCTCGGGGGAGTCATCAAACCTGACTTTGTCGGATATCACCATAAAGCCTTCTATGGACCCGCTTACGTGCCTCAGGCGTTACACACTGCTGCCTTGGTTTACTACCTTCTTGGTGGAACTGAATTCGCTTTATCGGCTTCGTCAGAAAACAATATCAGACGGGGACTTGAAACGATGCGTATAATTGCGGTGAAGTATTCCACACCAAACAGTGTTAACGGACGTATGCCAAGCTATTCTAACAAAAAGATTTTAATTGCACTACCTGCCTTTGCTTACATCAGTGTTTCCCATCCGTGCACTGAGCAATCAGAAATATCTGCTAGCAGTGCAGTTAGCACAAATAAACCGGAAATGTTTCTAAGGTTATATAACGACCCAACCGTCAACAGTTATCTGGAAGATGGAGGTTACAAAGTGAAGTACTATTACAACAGTTTGGGCTCTCTGGACATCATGGAAGCGGTAAGTTCAGCTGCCTTAGTTTCTGACACTGATTCGATAACTATTGTTGTCATTAATTCAAAATATTTCGTCGTTTCTGATGGGCTTAAAACCTCCGGCTAATTGACAATTTTTCCTCGAGCCCAAATGGGCTCTGAGTCAATGGGCCATTGACTGGCGAGAGGAATAATTGCAGTAGTAAAATCCAACTAGTTGTTCAAAAATATCCAGACAAAACAACTTTAGCCAGTTAAAAATAGACTTTTACATCCTTTTTTGCCGCCAAAAAGCCCGCGCTTTTTGCTACTAGTGGGCTATAACATATAGCCTGGTAATAGCTGAACCAATCAGAACGCAGCATTTATAATAGACCACTAGCTGGATTTTACCAATTCTCCATAACGAAGTGGCGTTGACCAAATTTGGAAGAAGTGAGCAATATACCTGAGAAGAAAAGATCTATTTTAAACTTTTGCGTATTTGATCTGTCAATCAAATCGTACCTTTTAAGGTGGCCCGTTCCTATTTATATGAGTGATGGCTATGTTTTTGATTCGCGTTTTTCAGAATGAAAGATTCAACCGATTTCTACGATTTTTTGCATCCTTAATAAATAATGATGGAACTTTAAGAAAATGTTATTTATTTTCTTATAGGTATAAAAACTTTTGAGATATCGGCATATATTTAAAACCTCATTTTTACGAAAAATGAAAATAACTTCGAAATCCCACGACAGATTTTTTCCTAACTTCTGCAAATAAGTCTCAGAGCTCTCTAGTTTTATGTCTACAAGTTTGAAGGCAATCGTGACCGTAGAAATCGCTCCACAAAAGTTGGTCAAATTTAATGCTAAAATGATAGGCTAACACATTTGTGAACGTAAACGCACAAATAGCGGAAGAGAGCTGACATACTACCTCTTAACTGAAACATTGTTCTTACCCAAAGCATTGTTGGAAGAAAATGAGTAATCGGACAACTACGGCGAACACAGTTAGCGCTTTAATACAACCAACCTTCTATTACATGCGCGTTGAAATAAAATGTATTTTATTCATCCAACTTACTCTGCATTTGTCCGTTCATTCTCGACAAAAATATTAAGAAAGCAAAACACAGCATCTGCAGAAACCGCTTGGACGTTTTTAGCTTCAAAGGTTCTCGTTCTGAGGCGAAATAAGCCCGCTAGTTTGAGAACACCTAGCCATCCAATTTTTAACTGCAATGAAAACCCTCTCGCATGATGATATATTCAAGATCTCTGACTTTCCTATCCGCATGCTCACGAGCAGTATGCCACTTGGGGATAATAGTTATTATTAAAAACTAAATAATTGGATAATGCAATTCTAGCATTTTGATTGGCTTAGCCGTTATGGTATATGAGCTAATATACCATGTTCTCCATATATGGTCGGTGTACGCGTCAGTTTAAAATTGGAAGCTAGCTGAGATTTTTTTTCGCGAAGGATAGAACGGCGCCCGAAGCAAATCGTTTTAATTCATTTCTTAGAATACTAGAAATGCAATTTCAACGAAAGAAAAAAGACAAAAACAAACAAAAAAGCCACAAGAGCTTGTTTGAAAGTTTGTCGAAAAACACATGAAAACACATGGAACAAAAAGTACCTTGACCAGCTATGAAAGAAGACAAGTGTTGTTTCTTCATGATCGCGAAGCCATTCGCCGATCGAGTCACTCGCCGATAGATAACTGCAGCTTGTTTATCCGACATCAAGAATATAAATCACAAGTAACCAGCTACAAATACAGGCTATGCTGCCATTCACTAGAGCAATCGAGGCGGCAGTATAGCTTCTTTTCTCGTTCAGCAAAACCAGCTTGTGGCTTCAAACAACTTCATAACAAGCGACCGAGGTAATACCGGTGGTTTTTCTCCGTTGTTCTTACTTTTATAACTGCACCGAAAATCCAAATTCACAGTAATTTCGACGGCTGTCACTTAAAAATTCCTTTCCTTCACATTATCTGCCAGGTTTTTTAAGCTGTTCTGCTGTGTAAAATCCTAGAATCACGATGAGTTTTTAAAAAACTAATGTTCATCGCACAATGTTTTGATTTTTCATTCATGCAGTCTAGGCGAGCCCGGTTCGCGCGTTGACAGTTTTGATAGACGTGTGACATGTCAATATCGGAAGTCCCTTGTCTTTTCCGGTTTGTTCTAGTCGGGGCGATTCAACGAGATTTTGTGGGCGTTTTTAATAAAACAATTATTCCACTCGGGCTTGTTGGATATGAAATGATTATAGCCAACTCGGCGCTATGCGCCTCGTTGGCTATCTATCATCTCATATCCAACGCGCCCTCGTGGAATAATTGTTAATTATTTACATATGGAAATCTATTTACTATCAAATTTATGGCATAATTTGCCCTTGTTTTGTTAGGGCCTTATAAGCCTTTTCCGATGATTATATCAGTCATTAACAAAACCTTTTTTTTGCTCCTATTAGTCCTATAACAATGTGTATAAAACATAATTAGACATTTAATTTGCAAATCGTGTTTTGTCTACTATTTCATTTTCAGTTTAGCGATTTTTCTTTTTTTTTACATGTTCTTCGAAGACAAATTATTTAAAAGTCAAAGTATAGAGGCGTCCCAAGTGGTTCACCTCGATAGTGCATGTTTAGAAGATAAAGTGCTGTTCAGGTCTGCAAATATACTCCAAAATAGCAGATGTCCGTCTAGTTGTCTTTTTGCTATGTTTTTAGAGAATATTTCGTCGTGAAACGAGTAAAATGTTCCGCCGACTGTTCGGCCATTTTTCTTTTCACAACCAAAACAACTCAACCTCGTCCTCGGGTCTTCTCGGTTAACGGTGCAATAACCTGCAACTGTGCTGCATTTTTGACGTCATCGGTTGATTATTCGCAAAATTCTTCCAAATTTGGTCAACAGTAGCTGGTTATGGTGAATTATTCGTGTGCATTTAGTAAATCAGAAATAGAGAAATATTTTGAATGAAAAATAATTAGCAATTATTGAATTCGGCTTTCGTATCATCTGAAGAATTATGAAGATCGAGGAGGGTGTTATCCGCCGAGGCCGGATAACACCCTCCGTGATAGAAAAGCCGAATTCACTAATTTTTTTACAATTCGTTCAAAATAATTCCTAGTTAAAAAATAAGCTAAAACATGCTTACCTTCATCGATGTTAAGTTCATCTTCAATAGTGCATATTTATCGGCAAGTTTAGGAGATAAAGGGTTTTTCAGTTCTGCAAATATTCTTCAGATAGGAGATGTCGTCTGTCGAGTTGTCTTCTTGCTGTTCTTGCTATATTTTTAGCCAAGAGTTCGCCTACTCGTGAAACGAGTGAAATGTTCCGCCATTTGGTATCCTCTACCAAAACAACTCAACCTCGTTCCCAGGTCTTCTCGGTTAACCGTTCAATAATCTGGCAAATTTGCTGCACGATTGACGTAATCAGTTCACATATCGCAAAATTCTTCTAAATTTGGTCGACAATAACTGGTTATGATGAATTATGCGTGGGATTTTAGCCAATCAGAAACGGAGAAATATTTTTAATGAATAATAAATTTTCTTTATATTAAGGTTAAAGCTAATGCTAAATTGAGAGGCATTTATCCCGAGTCCTCCCCTGAAGGTCACTGGTCCAAGAATTTTGCCGCTCTGTCCATCCATCGACGCAAAGATTGGGCTGTAACAGTGAAGGGATTTAATCGTTTTCTCTGGGATTTTGAGAACAAAAAGAATGAAAACGTTTTTGGTATGTTTGCCAGTCATGGTGCTTTGCTGATTGCCAACAGTGAAACAAGCCTTAAAGTTCATGACGTCGAAAATGGTTGGGATTGGACCAAAGTCCCTGGAGCAACGACACTCGCATTGGACCTTAATGCTTTGAAATTGAAAAAAGGAAGGTTTTACAACCCAAAGGATTTGGCAGGAGGTCTCACGTTTAAAGGTACCAGTATCTTGGAAAATGGTATTTTTGGCATGGATTTTGAACAGCCAAACTATAGTCTGAGCGATTGGCGAAAAAATATAGATTTCAAGTTCAAAAAATCGGTTTTCTTTTTTGAAAATTTGGTAGTTTGCTTAGGAAGCGACATAGTAGCAAAAAACACTGGAGGTAAAATCGTTCAGACAACGCTTTTTCAAGACAAGCTGACAGAATCACTTTCCATAAAGATTAATGGGGTAGTAAAAAGACTCGCGACGTCTATTTCGAAATCAACACCTTCGAAACAAGGACAAAAATTTACGACGCTTACTGACACAAAAGGGAATTTTTACTACATACCAGATGCCAGTAAGGATATGTTAAAGGTGCACATTAAAAATCAAATATCCAAAACAGAGGACGGGAAAACTGCTACATTCGGGAAGTACGGTACGGCGTGGCTCGAACATGTTGGCTTTCCTTCACAATACGAATATGCAGTCATAATTCCGACTCCAACATATTCTCCAACACCATATAAACCAGCATCCGCCCAGGAAACAAAAATGAAAGTTTACAACGTGCTGGAGAAAAGTAAGTTTGCTCATGTCGTTCAGTTTGTCATATTGCCAAAGACCTGGACCCCACTCAACCATCCCGTTACTGCCTATGTCATTTTCCAACCATCTACATCTCTTCCCACCAATGGTCCAGTAACGGAAGTCAACAGAGGAAATATTCTAATCATGGTTGAGGAGACTGGGAAGTTTATTCACCTCAGCATCAGCTCTCCAAGTATAAATCTTGAATTAAAGCGACCTTTAAATAACTCGAATGACGCGAGGGAAGAAGAATTGTATCACTCATCGAGCAAAGAGCGTAAAATAAGGGTCACACTGAAGACACCAGTACAGCGAAGTATCGTTTCCCTCATGGTTCATGATGACCCGGATAGTTAGAAGCCTAACGTATGGGTGGATGATGCAGGCCAAAAAATCACCTTCCTGAATCTCAAGAATGGCTTCAGCGTTGAAGTGAAACTGAAGAAAAAGCCGTGAGTTTTCATTTTCTTGTCTTTGATTATTAAAAATATGATTTCGAATAACACGGTACATCTAAGTAGTTCTGCCTTTTTCATTTGTTAACTGCGGAAATTCAACTAGTTGTTAATGAATAACTGTGCTTTCGCCCGATGTAAGAATCAGGATGCCAGAATCCGAGAAATTATTGTTTTTGGAAACCGAAATCCGGGAAAATTTTAATGTTATCTTGAAGTGTCCCCCCCCCAACCCCCCAAAAAGGAGGGTTTTTGTGTGTAACCCCTTGCAAGATTCGCTAAAATTTCAAAAATGAGGTATCTCTGCAAAGAACTATGCTTATTGAATACGCTTCTTAACAGCTTAATTAATCAAACTGAAACCTTGTTCTACAAAGGGAAGAAAAGGACCTCACCCGTCCAAAAGCGTTAAAATGCGTGGATATGATGTGTATTCGTTTCCTTCAATTGTCTGTCTCTTCTACAGTTTTATGGTTGTAAAATGTTTTGGTATTGTATCGTCAGTACAGGCCACCTAATCAGTAGTCCAGTTTCGAATTTGTCGCGGCCGCTGAATAGAAGCACTGAAGACTCATTTACACAAGACAGCCTCGACCTAACGTAAAATGTTTACAAATACCGGATAGCAGGTGCCTGAATTGAAGTTAAAAACAATAAACACAGTCGTAAACAGGTCTTATTCTGATTGGAATGTGTGAACATATTTACCTTAGGCTAACCCTGAATAAATGAGTCCTCAGTGATTCCATTAATCGGCCGCGACGAATTCGATCCCGATAGCAGTTCTAGGTTAGATCCTCGAATCTGTTGCCATCCATTTTACAAATCTTCTGTTTAGTTCTATGAACAATAAAACAGGTGAACAAAGACAAATCTCGACACGATCTCTCTTGTTCAATTCTGTTTTTTTTTCCTCTTAGGAAACAGAAATCTCCCAATGACTTTCCAGAAACTGTCCATTGGTAGAGGCTGCTCCATGATTTCTGAACGCGGGAAATGACGAATCGAAAAAGTAGCTGTTTCAATGACTGAAATGTTTCCCACTGTTAAGCACTCAACAAAATTCTACTAAAGTAAACTGTAGAAGAATATTTAGAGATCTAATATATTGATTTGAATGTTTAATTAAAATCTGAAGTTATCATGATCGATAGTGCATGGAAATTGCATCACTTACACACTGTTTGCCCGCACTTATTTTATTTTACCTTTATAAGGGATCTCAAGCAACTGTACCTTTGATGATGATGATGATGATGATGTTGACGTAGAAATCGATTTTAGCCCTTTCCGACTTTTGCAATATTTTTGGAAAAGAAAAAAGTGGGCCAAGAGTTGAACTATGGGACTTCCGGCCGATATACTTCCCTGTAAACGACCAGGATCACCTGGGAGCTTTGTACGGTGGCCTGTAAGCGACATGGCAATTTTTTTGCTTATTTATAAGTTATCGCGCGATAACTCAATCTTATCGCTCGATAAATGAGAAAATTTAAAAAATTATCGCGTGATAAATTGCAACTTATTACATGATAAAGAGAAGCTGGAACGTTGCACGTGGAGAGATACAAACGACTATATGCAGAAAACCGACGCATACCGACCGATTACTAGACCAGTCTTCCCACAACCCGACCTCTCACAAGGCTACAACTATCCGGACTTTGACGAGACGAGCGCAACTAGTTTGCGACTCACCTGACAGCCTACAAGACGAGACTCATTATCTTAACAACGTTTTTAGTAAGAACAATTACAACACGGACTTGGTTAGACGGAATACTCACAGTAACACTGATTCCAACACTCAGACCAACGGGGCGGCACATACCTATATGAGGGAGTACCGCCCCCCTCCCCCCCGGGATCGTTTTTATTGTGGGACACGCCGTGACGAGGCGGGATGATTTATTCTCGTTATTTCATTGCGCAATCTGAGAGGCATTTCGTAAGATTGATACGAATGAACTTCAGGATATATAATCGTAATTTTACTCACCAGACTAGGCAAAGAGTAATTTATAAAACCTTAAAATATCCACATGATAAGGAGGACAACTGTACAGTACCGCAAATGATCCCCAACCGCAAATGATCCCGAGACCGCAAAAGATCCCCAAAATGGACCACAAATGATCCTCGACCGCAAGTGATCCCCAAAGTCGACCGCAAATGATCCCGAAAGAAAAACAGGAATGACTTGGACTCAAGTTAGCGGATCATCGTGTCGATTTTATTATTATTACAATAAGTCAAGTTAAAAGCTAAATCTTACTTCTCAAATAAATATATGAATAAAAACTAAATGAAAAAAATCATTCAAGAGTAAACAACACGTAGGTAGGCAACACACGACTTTTACCTCATGCTAAAATGCTGCTTGTTCCAATTACTTTTTTCCGGCTCTGGCGGGTAGATTATACCTCTGAGGAAAACGTTTTGACTGAGCAAATGCGATTTTTGCTGCTTATTTCATAGTGAGAGGTCATGACACGCATTTTCTGCGGTTATTGTTGTTTTTGGTCGGCATGATTTGCCCTTTGATGCAAGAGCATTTCCTTTGACCTCTTTTGAAATATAGTGCTCTTCATTGCTGCTAAATAAGGGTTTTAGGTTGTTTAATTTTCTCCTAAGTGCCTCCTGGATCCGAATAATCATAAGCGATTTTCTTTTAGTCCGTGAATGTGACGGTTTCTTACGATGTTTTGTCACGCGATAACTACCGCTTACCTGGCTTTGCGTTTCTCATTACCAGGTTTAGATTTCTGGTAACTGTCTTCAGCAAAGCACAAGAAATGAATATACATAAAAACGCTAATATAACTATTCACAACACGTTCATGAGATGTAAGAAAGCTGCTATTTCGAAATGAACCGAAACCTGTGGACATTGATAAGTTCGGGGGCATTTTGACTTGCGTTTATGTTAAATCATGTCTTGTTTCGTAATGGGCAGCTAAGTTACGAACAAACGTCTTGCTGTTTATCACATAAAATTAACACTTCAGAGAAAAATCAAAATGAAATATTCTGGCTGATTAATTTCCCGCTTTCAAAAAGATCAGTAAAGTCAATAAAGCTCTTGTTAGGTAGAGGGTGCCCGGCTTTGTATTCCTCAATAGAAAGGTTGTCTTAAATTTTTCAAAAGACGAAACATTCTTGAAAGAAAATTTAAGCAATCGACAAAGGAAGAAGTATACGGTTAATACCATACCTTTTCAGATTTATTCCATTTTTTTTTTCGCCTTGTATAAGTTGACCTGAGATGTAGCGTCCTCCTTCCCTTTTTCTTTAAAAGGCGAGGTTTCTTTTTTATAATCAGTCCTTTTTTGTAATCAGTCCCGTAAAATCCATTCCATTCCTCAAGTTTTCACGGGATCATTTGCTGTCGACTTTAGGGATCACTTGAGGTCGAGGATCATTTGCGGTCCATTTTGGGGATCATTTGCGGTCTCGGGATCATTTGCGGTTGGGGTCATTTGCGGTACTGTACAGGACCGAGTCCAAACTCATCCAACGAAATGAGAAAATAATATAAATATATCCACCAGGCCCCGTTCCTGAAAGGCCGATCAAGGATTAAAGTTTTGTTCTGTTTGATTGTATCTTACATTCCTATTAGGGTATAACATGTTGTGTTATCATTACTGTAGTTTGTTGTTGTCGCGAGTGACTAAGCAGTCTAGAAAAGGTATCTTACCATTTTCTTCGATCTCCTTGGTGAACTGTATGTCCGCGTTCTGTCTGTTAAGGTGTTAAGGCGTCGATTCCGTCTTTGTGTACGGCAGTGAATGTGTCGTCAACGTAACTTAACCAGAGAGGTATAGCTGGGGCTTGTTCCTCGATGTTTTGCATGACAATTTCTGCTACAACAACAGAATCTGGAGAGCCTATAGCTGTACCGTGTAACTGTTTGTAATGTCTGCCGTTGTACTGAAAGTACGTCGAAGTCAAACAGAGGTTGAGTAGGTCCATAATGTCGTCTGTAGGTAGTGGTAGTTCAACAGCAGAGTTCTTAATAGCGTTCTCAGTACAGTTTAGAGCCAGTTAAAGTGGAATACTGGTGAACAGTGATTTCACGTCAAAGGACACTAGTTTGTGGTCGTCCGGTATATGTATTGTCTTAATGGCGTCAATAAAGTTCTCAGTGGACTGTAGTTAGTTTTGAGACTCCTCATAAGTAAGAAATTGTCCATTCTCCTGTAGGAGATCCTTTATTGACAACAACAACAAAACAACAAATTTTATTACATTATTTATATTACATTACTTTCCCACCCGCAAATAGCTTATGAACTAATCGAGGCGGGGGGGAGCTGAAGACATATTACAAAACAAGATTTATATATAGATGGACTAAATAATAGTGAAGACAATACAATACAGTAAATAGAATTTAAACTAACATAAAACAAGGCATGTACATAACGATTACGAAGAGAGGCTAACCTAAAGTATTAAATAACTTAATAAGACGGGAGACTTCGACATAATCATCTTCTGACCGCAAAAAATTTAGTAATAATTCCTTTATTTTTTTACAAAAGGACGAACGTTTAAGTATTTTAATCGAATAAGGAATAGAGCTCCAAATTTGGGCACCGATTCTCGTGAAAAAGGCATACATTTTATCGGTTCTAGAGAACTTAACATAAAACGAGTCGCTAGAGACAGATCTTGTTCTGTAGCTATGAATCTGACTTGTTTTAACGAACTGATTGAGTATACTAATTGGTGCTGTCTGTCTGTTGATATCATACAATAAATCGCTACAATCTCTGAAAAATAAGCTAGGCAGGGGAAGGCAATTTGATTTGAGAAAGAAGGGTTCGGCGTGTTCCTTAGACTTACTGAAGTAAATGAGACGTAAGACCCGTTTTTGTAGAGTTACGATCTTTCTTTGAAATGTCAAGGCACAGTTTCCCCAACCACAAATACCATAAATCAAGTAAGGGACAATTAATGAGTTGTAAACTGAAAGTAAAACACGACGCGGGACATAATGTCGAATCTTAGCTATAATTCCTATCGACTTGCTGATTTTGTGACAGATAAATTCGATGTGGTATTTCCATGAAAGATTTGAATCAATCATTGAGCCAAGATATTTTACATAATCTTTCAGTTCAAGGTTTGCGTAGGTGTTAGTCACGGAGTCAAAAATTCTAATCCTAGGTATGAAGGGCATATTCTTTTGCCGGGGACGAAAGATTACAAAATTTGATTTTTTTATGTTCAAGGACAGTTTGTTGGTCTTTAGCCATTCGTTGACATTGCCAAGCTCGCGATTAACAAGTGTTTCGAGTTCCTTTAGGTTGTTATTTGCAAGTATTATACTAGTATCGTCAGCAAATAGATAAAAGGCAAATAACGAAGAGGACTTGTAAATATCATTGATGTACAGTAGGAATAAGAGTGGTCCGAGGACTGAGCCTTGTGGCACGCCGCACAAGGTCGTCTCAGCCTCAGACACAACATTATTAACTTCCGTAGTTTGCTTCCGATCAGTCAGGTATGATCTGAACCAGGAGTTGATTACAGCTCTAATACCATAACTTTCAAGTTTAGCTAACAAAATCTTATGGTTAACAGTATCAAAAGCCTTTTTGAGATCGATGAAAACACCGCACGAAAATTTTCTGAAATAATTTTTTGAAATAATTCCTTTTGCAAACCATTCATTTCCATTTCCATGTTCTGTGCATTCTTTTGTTTAACCCTATTCAGACTGGGGGGCTTTTCGAACCCCCCCTCCGGCAAAATCGGGATAACTCCTACACCGAAAGAGCTATGACGTTCAAATTTTCTGACTTTTCCTAAAATTTATCTAGGAACATTTTGGTATAATTACCATGTCCATGTGATTAATCATGTTGCCATGGCAACCAGTTTCTGACACATAGGTTTTGGAAAATTTAAAAAATGATGATTTTTTTTGTTTTGAGATCGCGTTTTTACACTTATAGTGCTGTTTGTTGTTAAAATGGTCTTTGCTTGGGACTAGTTTTTGAATTACATCAAAATGTTTCAACATCGAATATTTGGGGGGTAGGGGTGGGGGTAAAATTTGTCACTTTTTTGCCTCGACAAATATGCTGCTCTATTTTCCAAATAACACTTCCAAAGTCATTTGTTTGGGTAATAAACATTAGTTTGATACTTCTTTTATACATTGTGAGCTTTTTCCCCTTTGAAAGTTGCTTTAAATTATAAATTTAACAAAAAAACGGAAATCCAAGATGGCGGACAACCATATGTATTTTTTTTTTTTTTTTTGGCGGAAAACCATATTTAGCTTAAAAAAAAAAAAACCATATGTATTTGTTGGAAATTATGACGTCATTAGCACCTTAAAAGTATCAAAACACATGTCAAACTGTGTATTTTATATGCATATATGTTGTATATTATATTAAAGAGATGACTTTACCAATATTATTGATATTTTACGTATCTAAGTGGAAAAATAATAAGAAACATTGAAAAATCGGAATATGACGTCACTATGACGTCATCATTGGGCGTGCGCAAATTTCATGACTCTAGCATTATTGGTTCCAGAGATACAGAGGGGGGGTCTAAGGAGCCCCCCCAGTCACAGATTGACCAAAAAAGCCCAGTCTGAATAGGGTTAAGTTGACGTTATATTTGGACGAAGAACGACAGTATATCTCTATAAAAATAGGTAGTTTTGGGTGCAGATACCTTGGGTCGTAGTTGCATCTTAACAAAAAGTTGAGACCTCCCGGTTTAACTGTAACGGTGTGGAGCGATTCTTGGACCACTTTCCTAACTATACTGCTGTCTTTGGTTTTTTTGACATTAAGCTGCAAGCCTGAAATGTCTCCAAAATTATTTATGATAACAAATGCATTTTCCACAGAGCTAATATCAGTACAAAGTAAATTAGTATCATCCCCAAATTGGCTTATTCAGCTTCTTTTCCAGATAAATAGATTCCTTTCATAAGATTGTTTTGACGAATTATAGCAGCTAAAATTTGCGGCGCTGTGAACATAGAGGTATGAGGGGAGTGGACACCCCTGTCTTACTCCTCTCGAGGGCTTAAACCATTTGGTTGCAAATCCATTATTTGAAACTGCTGTTTCAATATTTGCATAAAAAACGCTAATCCATCTTTTAACTCTCTCCAAAATTCAAAGTATCTAACATCTTATTAATATACCGCCATTCAAGAGTATCAAACGCTTTTTTAAAATCTAATGACAATAATATCCCTGATAGGTTTTGAGCTTTTGTATTTTCCATCATATCACTAATCAGCCTTATGTTCTCGCCCATATAGTGAGCTTTAATAAATCCTTTTTGATCAGAGTTGATTATTTTTGGTAGCATTTGTTCGATTCTCCTTGCTACAGCTTTCGCTACAATCTTGTAGTCGGTGTCAAGTAAGGTGATTGGCCTCCAGTATTTTCATGGAGGACACGAGTTTTCACGAGTTTCATGAGTTCAATCCAAGTTGAAAGTTTGTTACACCCGTTTCTTATTTTCAAAAAGAAAAATTTTTGTATTTGGCACCATCGTCGTAATCGAGTCAGTGGGGAGCTTGAAAGAACATCGAGAGTGAAACAATAGTGATTAACAGTGCAAAGAAAACAATGAAGAATTTATCCAAAATACGGGCAGCGGTTTTCCATTCGTTTCTCTTTAAGATATCGTCACTTGTCATGATTCTCCGGCGTTTGCCAAATGAATTCCTTGATCCAAAGAACCTTCCGAGCCAGTCAAGAATAATTAAACGAACCCACATTGGCATCTCACCATCACCATGGTGACCGTAAGAGTAATTAAGCACAAGGCAGGTTGCTGCCAATGAGAGGGAGATTAGAACCATGGTGATAATATAGAACTTGCCTAACAGAGGAGCGCCATCGGATGTAGAAGGGAGGTTCTGATAGACAAACTGTAAGAAAACAATCATAGCTAACAGCACAGTGATTCCAAGCTGCATTCTCTCTCCGGATTCCGGTGGAAGATAGAAGCCTATCAGGACCATAGTGGTGATGATCAAAGCAGGGATGATCAGATACAGTGTGTAAAACAATGACTTTCGCCGAACGTGAATGGTGTAGGTAATGTCAACATACGGTTTAGGGCAGCAGTCGTACAACTTTGAACTCCTGAAATGACAAATATTAGCATGCCTAAAGTCATTAAAGTTTTGCACGTAATGCCTCCTTCTTTTGTGTTTCTTTCCTTTTTTTACAGTTTGTTTTTGTTATTTCATTCGTCTCAGTTAAAATCAATTCAGTAGCCGTCAACCATAACCCACCTCGTTTTGCCTAATTGTGGAATTTCCAATATTGCAAAGTAAATTTGTTATTGTAGTGAACACGTTTGTCGTTGTAATAGTTTTAACACTGTGTAATTCGCTTCAAATAATTTATTGCCATGCAATCACGTTTGTCGTTGTAAAATCCATCTAGTGGTTTTTCAATTCTGCGTTCTGGTTGGTTGAAAATTATGTTAGAAAATTATTGGACAATAAAGTTGAAATAATTTATTGCCATGCAATCATATACTATAAACAAGCAGACAATTATAAGACATTATTAACTGTAAGCTACAGTCACCTTTTCTGTTCTATATTTAGTAGTTGCCATTCACCATGTTCTGTGTAGATGTCATCACTTGAGGCATTCGTAAGAATGCGCATGTCCAAGCGGCTTTCATCATGAATCCAGCTACCAAATTTCATGGGACACTTTTGTTCGTCAAACGGGAAATATCTTACGAGGATATAAGCATAATTTTATGTTAACGTTATAAACAACATGGCCCTTACTTTCATTGCAAGCATATCTTCGCAGTAGAATGAACAATCCAAGCGGTTGAAAAAGAACCTGAAAAAATTCAGGCTTGACCGGGAATCGAACCCTGTCGATGACTGGATGCAACGCTTTATTCATTGCGCTTATCAAGCCAACTGAAGAGCAAGCTATTGTGAGTTCGTTATACACCTGATGGTGGAAATGACATGAAAAATTAATGCCGTAATTGCAAGATTCTAGAAGGAAACGGGCTTATCAGTTGCACCCATTCATTAATTATACCTAAGCAATGACTTATTTGTATTTTTTCCTCCTAGGATGCTAGAAAATACCAAGTGTAGGAACAGTCCATCAGACCATTGATTTGACAGCGATCTGGTCACTCAGCTTTATTCTAAAACGAGGACTATCCAAAAGGCGTGTTTTTGTTCAGGCTTAAATGGATCATATTCTCATTTAAAGCTCTTGTCAAGCGTAACCTAATGATGAAGTTGCTAACGCCAGTGTTTACCTGACGTCCAATCGGCAGACTGTCACAAACATGGCCGGAGCTAGCCATATCGTTCGTCCATTTGAATAGATGACAACGTCTGTCTTGTACTTGTGTGTCCCTCCAGGAAATGTAAATTCCGCACTTAAGTTGCAAAGAAATTGAAAAGCAATTACCAGACTTAAAAATCAGTCTTAGTAAGTAAAGTGAGTTCAAGTACCTGAATTGACTTTAAGGTAACCAAACATTAAAAATTCTTTTTATATGGTCAAGAAGTACTTTTTAATAAACCGTAGAGGGAGTGCTTTATAAAGAAGGGCCGTTGACACATCCTTAAATTACGAGGTACTTTCCCCGGCCCTCAGTTGAGCAGTATGTTAATCAGATACAAGGCATTCAGTAACAGGGACGTTTATTTTATCCCTCTTGGACTGGATGTGGTAAATTTCAAAAAAACACCTGTTATAAAGCACGATATCTGGAACCCACACTTTGGAAGCGTCTACATTGATCTCGTCGATGTCACCGAAATCAGATGCATTCCACGTCAAAAGGGGGTTGATCCATTCCTGAAAAATGTTGCGTACCATGATACTCTATATTCACCTAAATCTGACATTTTAAGGGAGATGGAATGAACGTGAAAAAGTTTCAAAAACGTAAATTCTTTAATAGCGATATTAGGGACTTCGGAAATCGGAAAATTGCTACGGCAACCTCTACTATGGCGGCCGGAAGTAAAAGAGCCCAAAAATGACGCACTGCGCATGCTTGGAAATGATCTTTCGCCGCAGCGCCAAATCCTACAATAACCTGACAACGACCTGTCTTGTGGCGTAGTCGCTACTACGCGAGTCTAAAACTCCCCTTTTTCACTAGTTTTTACAATCACTGGTTTTTAAGCCTTTATTAAGAAAGTATCTGACTCTTCTGGTTTTCCAATAATTACGTCTTCCCTGCGTTTTACTAATTAACAGCGAAAGCAAATGAACAAGAAATCCCGTAGTCGTTTGGGGGCCGCTTGCTTAAAGTTGAAATTTGGCAGGCTACGGTGACGTACTCTCCCCAGGACTCCGCATCCACGACCGTCGTAGTAGAGGTAGCCGTAGCGATTTGCTTAAAGTCCCTATAATCCCTGACGGCGACCTTGTTTAAGCTGACTTTGAACAACAACAACAACAACAAAACAGCTCGCTTACATATTCCCGTTTAGATTGTCCACGGAGTTAACTGAAAGGTGTTATCAGGTTAAGATGTTGATAATTGCCATAATTACCTGATAGGTGTAGAGGATTACTTGTAAGAGTTGTTCATTGTCCTTCTAAACGGAATAAGAGTAAAACAGAGCGTCCAGTCAACCTTACAGAGTTTAGGTATCCTACTGTGAGGGCCTTAACGGCAGAATTGACTTTTTAAAATGAGTTTTCTTGACTCAAACAGTTGTAGAATTAGTGGTAATGTTTAAAGCATCTCATCACTGGCTAAAATATTCTCACGTTAAAACCTTTAAAGCTACCGCTACAGATGCATTTCGAGCCACCCCACCTATTTTGTACTATGATACCATATTGAGGGTATGAGATAATTGCGCAGCCAAGTGTATTTCTAACAGACTTAAAGTTTGCTTGGTAATGCATTTCCCGGAGAGGTCTGTTTTTAAACGGAATGTATAACTCTATATTCTTACTGTGCTATGTCTTTCAACGTCATAAATGATACAGGACATTTACAGTGCACCTGAATCGTGTTTATTGTTTTTCTTTAACATACAGCGGCCACTTTATTTTATCGGATCAACAAACTAAAATTCACTTAACTTATTGGTCGCTAACTTGTGTTGGAGAATAATGCTCTAAATTATAACAAGTATGGGGATACTACTACTGGTAAGCTTTGTGAACATAAGGGAGTTATGACCTATATCCGAAAACCCAGCAGGTCATTACACGAACTTTCTCTCGCAATTTTATTTCGTTATTCCAATTCCTAAAAGTCACTTTCATTCGCCTAAATGTAAAATAAAATAAAAAGAAATAAAATAACACTGTAGGCACCATCATTGGGGCTTTTTCGTGACGCGCTTACCCTCATTTAAGTTTTTCATCTGTTTGCTATTCCATTCTGTGAGTCTCTTATTAATTTCATTAACACTTACTATTCATTCCTACTTACCAAGTCTATTATCTGTTTGAGTTTTGCTCTAAATATGACGACCACTTGGGAATTTCTTTTGAGGACGGGTCTAGAAGATTTGCTGTAGTTTTGAAACAGGTTCCGTAACAGTCTCTGTTCATCATTCACTACAGCCGCTATTAAGGAAACGGCGGTTAATCGATCAAACGCAATGAACTTGTTAATCTTCAAATTATTCATATGATTACAGTTTATGACAAAAATATAGAATAACGAAGAGCTTGGACATACAGTAAATGAATATAAAAACAATTCACTTAATGATTTCGGCTCTGATAGGAAATGGGAAATTATGCAGATCCAGAAGAGTGTAGTTGGTCTCAGCCTGGTCTGTCGTTCAAGCGGATAACACCCTTCTCGATCTATAAACCTTTTTGTGTCATACTCAGCCTCAGCTAATAATTTTGAAATATTTTGATCAATATTAAATCAAGCAAGAAAAAAGAAAAAAAGAATATCTAGATACAGCAGTTTGGTAAAAAGAGAAGTTGACATTACACATTCCTTTTTATATCATCAGCAGTTTTTTTAAAATCTCCTGATGTCGATTTGAGACTTAAGGCAGTTACCGCCCGATTTCAAATGTTTCTATTCACTGGTAACTTAAAACATGGCTAAGAACTTTCTCTGTAATATTTTGAGTAACAGTACAAGACAAAATGATATTTTCGTAAACATATACAAGGGTCTCAATAGGGTAGAATCATTTACAGTTAACAGCAGATAGGCCCCTGGTCAGAGGTTATTATTATTCATTCAAAATATTTCTCTGTTTCTTTTTGGCTGAAATGCCCCGGCTAATTCGTCATAACCAGCAAGCGTTGACCAAACATACAAGACGTTCACGATATCCGGTAAAATGACGTCAATAGTACAGGTTATGGTCAGAAAAAGTGAAGGCAACGGAAAAGTCCTATCTCGACGAGATTGCGCCGTTGTCTCAATTTTTTTGGTGGAGCTAACGACTAAAAGTTTAGGCTGTTTTACGGCTAGCGGTCAACCCCACTGAGACCTTCATTAATACTCACCACGTGTTCTAAAAACGAGAGCTGTCGACAATGTTATAAGCAGAGTGAGCAGGATTTTAGACATCTACAAAAGCAACAGAGACAGAAAAAGCGTAGTAATGTGTTCGATTTCTTTGCATTTTTAATTATCGCGTCCTGTTTTAAGCTGTTAAATTTAATAATCGCAACGTGCTTATCAAGTTGTTTTTAAAATGTGTATATAATATGAATACAGTCGTCTCCCGATAATTCGAACCTTTAAGGGAAATCGAAAATAGTTCGAGTTAGCGGGAGTTCGAAGTAAATAACCGAAACTATAAGGAAATGGGATGGGGAATGAATTCAAGTAACAAGCACACTTCAAAGCTTGATAAATGCTCAGTGCTGGACACTGTATTTTTAAACTAGACTGACCAAAAACTACAGACAGAGAATACGTGGACGGGTTGTTAAAATAAATTCAAAGTTTCGGACTGCAGTGCACTTCTTTATTCGACTTGTCAGGCACTCAAAGCATAGCTCGAGTTATCGAGGGTAAATTTATATAAAAATGATCTGAAGGAAAACAAAACTTACTTCGACTATCCAGGGTTCGCGCGAGTTACCGAGGGTAAAATTATAGTAAATGTATGAAGGAAATGCAGGGGAAATCGATTTTGGTTCGTGTTTGCGTGGGGTTTGAGATAGCGAGGGTTCGCTGAATTATCGGGAGTGAACTGTTCAGGCCTTTGATGTTTTGACCGCATCACTTGATAAGATCAATTTTTTTGCACTGGAAAGATACTGATAGAAGTTAACATTTTTCAACACATATAATAAAATTAGATTATTTCATATTCATATTTTACTTTTGTTAGTAGAACAAATCACTTAAAGTTATTATGAAAGAAATTACACATACATGCGCGACCTATTTTCAGGGGCACCCAACGACAATTTTCGGAAGAATATCTGTTCGGTAGACGATTTGAGATCTAGAATTTTCGACACATTTGTTTTAAAATTTATTGCTTGCCTGCCTCTCGTAGGATTTTCGAACATCTAAAAAATGGCATAATTGCCCATTTTTAACGGATTTTTTACCCTAAAAAGGTCACCTAGAATTTTTGGTAGCCTCTTTTCTGGCTGAAATTTTCGAAAAGGTAAGTTTTGATCCGTATAATTTTCGGATCATTAGACTTTCAGCTAGGAAATTCGAACAGATGAAAAATTTTTAGGGGATAAAAATATGCCTATATCTACCGTTTAAATACTAAAATACGTGTAACAATGCTATGTTTAAGTGGTTTTGAACTATACTCTCGTTGGGTGCCCCTGTATTTTGTCTTTCTAAAACCTGAATGGACAGGATCGAGAAAAACGTTTTCATTTTTGTATGTTGTAGGGAAAGGAGGTGAAAATAAACTTCCGAATAATATGCTTGAGGATTATTTTGTGGTACTTCATTGAAACTGACGATAGTTTCTTAGAGTAGTAAAGTACAGTTGAAAGTGTCTTTAATAAAGGCATCGAAGCCTGCCATCGAAATTGAAATGGTCGTCCAAGTTTGTCACGTTAGCGGTACTTCGATGATCCATTAAATCTAGAACCTTCAACTTCTTTAGATTGACCGAAGAAGTTTTAAAAAAGGTGGACATTCAGTCGGAAGTTTTTATAACGCCATGATCCCCCCCCCCTTTTTTTCGTGATATTGGGTCGGTCGGTCGGATTGAAAAAAAAAAAAAAATCACAAGAAGTCTTGGAATAGGATGCCCTGGTACCCCAGGACGACGTCCTGGATTAACAAAATACACAATATACTGTTCAATGTTCCTGTTTTTGTTCCTGTTTTTCTCTATGCTGTTACTATGCTCATTTCCAGATTAAAAGAATTATTTCCAACTTTAACTAAGTCGTTACTTTGTTTTTTTTGAAAACGCCAAAAATTTGGGTCAGTCGGACGACGCTAAACGGAGTTAAAAAAGAGGATGGCCTAATAGCATTGTCTTGTGTTCGGCCACTTAAAGTATCTATAAAAACCAGGAGACTTTTTGAAAAATTTTCGTTGCTTTTTATGTTTTCAGCGTGTACCACAGGCCATTAATGACGGCATGAGACAAGTGCAACAAATATCGCAAGTTACCTTACTATCATGACAGTTAAATTTTGATTTATACAGTGCATATTATCTTTGAGCCGATCACTGTCCTTTCTGGGGTACGTTTTGTTAGGTATGATCATGTTTGTGATCGGTGGATTTTGTGGGGTTGATCGATTTGTCTCATGCGTGAAGTAACAGAACTTACCTCTGACATTAAATTGAATGACTTCCTAGTTAACAAAGCAGATGGTTCCTTCTAACGGCACTAGTTAGATAAAAAATATTCTGCCTTTGGGTGAAACAAAGTTATTTTGGGTTTAAATCAGACTTTCGAACGTTCAAACAAGGCAGAAACTGGACCGTATTATACACGGTATTTCAACAACTGTGATTAAAAATCACCACCAATCAGAAATACGTCAATGCATTTCTTTATATTCAGCTTATTAATTCAAATCACATTCAAACGTTAATGCAAATGTCTGTCGCCTTTAAAAAGTGGTTAATTATAAACAACTTCTTAAAGGGTTTTCAAAAAGATGTCATGAAATCGCTAATTTTTTTAAAACTGTAAAGGAATATTTCGAGGTCAAAAAGAGTAAAATTAAAAAGAACATACAATATTCTATCAGTTTTCTGAATTATAGCAGCAGAATGGACCACAGAATGCCTTAATTTAAATTGTAGCTTTTAAGTGCCATGTACAGTTAGTACAAATATTGCCTACAAATATTCATTCAGAGCATCATAATCACTAATTCATAAACAATAATTTGGTTGACGATTTGGTTGAAATTTGCAATCAACTATAAATTATCAAGTACTGCACAGTAGCTATTATGAGTACTCTGATTGCCTGAATCCACTTACAATTATTAGAAATAACTGATGCCATTATTGTAAGTTTATATTTCACCTGAGAAACAATTAATGTTCTTTAGTTTCCGTGTCATAGTTGCGTTAACGATAGTTAAGAAAATAACTTGAATATGGTCCAAAAAAATAAAAGGCTACTTTTTTGTACTGATATAAAAACTCTGACCAGATTTTTTATCCTTTTTCAGTGACCTGTTGTTGTGCAATGATTTATAGCTAGAAAATTATGCTGTTTACCATTGGTATGTGATTTAAACCCCTTCAATCCATTTATGGGAAAACAATAAAATGGCACTCAAGCAGATGTCGTTTATTTCCCTAACGAGGCAAAAAGGAACATAAGAGTTGCTTACAGTTTACTCCGTTTAAAATCTCGTGCGTAAACATTCAACCACTATTATTAACTTTATAGAAAAAGAACACGCTACAAAATATATCGATGCTTATATCCTCCACATTTCGTTCCATATCCACTTTCATCTTTCTAAATTATTATTATGCCATTTTTTTTTTTCGATGAGTAGGGTCATGATTTTTCCAGCGCACTGAGTTGTCCGCTGCATTTTTTTTCTTAATGTTAGTAAGGGGTAAACACTTGGGTTGAAAGGGAGCCGTGACTTATCTCATGCAATTTGTCATTTTACCGAACTACAAGTAAATATAGCATTTTGATTGTTTCTACGCCAGAGCTGGAACAATTGCAAATATAAAAATACAGAATAACACGATAGCAACTCCAAAGAAGATTGCCATTATTGCTGAAAACTTTGCATCTCTCGAGGCATCTTCCGCTCTCTTTAACTCATCTGCTTCGAATCGCTTGTTTGTCTGCAAGAAGTATGAATAGAAAATGACATTAAGTCACCCTGGCGATACAGGGATTCGATCTTTTTCCCTTTTTCTTTTCTTTTTCTTCTTTTTAAAATCGTTCTTGTAAGGCGCGAAAAAAAAAAATTCACAAGCTCTCACCAGTCTTACCCTCTGTCCTCACATTCACTCCAGACCTTTTGTTTAACGAGTACTAGTGCCCGCACGGCTCAAACCAACGCAAAAATACGACTAAGAGACCCATCCCATCACCCCCTACTTCCGCCGCTCGAGTTACGAAGAGGACTGAGGACGAGTGAGGCTGTTTTCATTTTGTCCAAAATCTATTGCGCCGCTAAAAGCAATGGATTGGTCAAGTGAAGCTAATTATTCTTGTTTATATTTTCTGTTTTTATTTTTTATTTACCATTCTTTCAAAACATCTTATTCCAGTTTAAGTGTATACACTCTTGAACTGCGTTACTTACAAGATATGACATGACAAAAGCCAACGTGCCAACCAAAGGACAGAAGAATATGGAAACTATGGCCAGTAGGCGGTAGTCATTTGGAGGGGCCTCTCGTAATGGCGCAAACTGAAAAAAAAAAAGAGTTGTCAGTTAAAATACATGATTAAATATTATAATCTAAGCAACGCAAATATGCTTCGAAGAAAAACTTTTAAGGGATATTTTCTAACCATGAATGAATAAACTCGGTATACTCTCTGAATATATTCTACTCAATTCTATTCTCAGTCTTCTTTTTTGTTCTATCCAGCCCCATTCGTTCACTGAGCCCACCGGTTAACTGTAGATTATAGCAGTATATGTCCTTCGTTTCACGGTGGTTAAAGGGGATTTTTAAAGCCGCGAGCAGAGATATTCGCGTTTCACTGTGGTTAAAGAGGATCGTTAAAGCCGCGAGATATCCACGTTTCACGGTGGTTAAAACGAGATCTCCGCGTGTTAAGGTGGTTAAAGAGGATCGTTAAAGCGCGTTTCAGGGTGGTGAGAACTGAGATAGCCGCCACAGAATTAAAATCTTTTGAATAATCACTTATACAACGCTGCGACAAACTTTCATTATTCAGATGGTACGTTTTCCAAAAGCTCATAGGAAACCTTTTTCAACACTTGTTTTCTTGACTTTTTCTCTGGTTTATATAGCCGTGAAATAAGGAGACTGTACACTTTTCCAAGTGTTTCAGTTAATACATTAAAATATATATTCATTCTTAACTAACTTTATTGAATTCGCCACGTTGACTCAACTCTGTGACAGGGAATGAAACAAGACTTCCGTCCCTATTGATAACCCCTTCATTATCCATGCACCCCGCCCATGAAAGGTTGTACCACACCACCGGGGTCTACGCCCCCTACTCTCAACGAACGGCATTGTGGGTTCTTTTACGTCCCACAAGAATCAGAAAAGTGAAAGAACTGTGGGACGGGACCTACGGTTTTTCTTGCTTATCCGATAACACTAGAATGTCTAATCATTTTGTAGATGTCTCAACAAAGGCAGCACATTCTCCTCAGTTATTTAAGACCCTGAGTGTTGGTCCGGCCGGGGTTTTAACCCGCGACCTCCCGCTCGGCAGACCGTCGCTTATCCAATTGAGCTAGCCGGGCGGGCGGTTGCTCGGCTTGCAAAAGAAAGAGAAACAGAAAACATCAACATAGCAAAGGAAATTCAAGAACGATAACAGATTGATGATTTTTTTTAAATCAAGCTGTTATTGTTCTTGAAAGAAAGAGACAGTTCATCACTCACGCGCTCTGCCTGCATGCTAAAAGCAAGTGGTTCCTGAAAAAAGAAATTGGGCAAATAAATAATTTATGGAAGGAGTGACTAGCAAGATTTATTTCATACCAACATAATTGGAAAGAAAAAAGAATACAGAATGTATAGAAATAACTGGTTCCTTTATACGCGATGCAACTTTTAAAGCTTCAAGAGCAAGGCCAGGGCCAAACGTTGAACTTCATATGGGACGAACCTCAAATGCTTATGACCGAGAATAGCAGATTTTGAATCAGTCATGCAGTTTTGAGACTCCTTTTTTTTTATTCTTAGATCATTCTCGTCTTTGTAAGTCTCCTCTTGTCACAGTAAACGTCATTATTGGGGGGTGGGGGATGCATGTCAAATAATTCACGATCAGCGGTCTTGAACAGTCTAATTATTCAAACAATTCAAAAATTTTAAACAGGGTTGTCAAGAGTTAATAAAATGAAGTTGAGTGCTTCTTTTTTCTACAAATGCTATAAGAGTCAGTATAAAGAAAACTGAGGATTTTTCATGCCATACCATCTCAAGCAACGTATCTGACTTTTCCTGTGTGTAGTTCTTCTCTCCTTCCCCAATGTGGAGAGTCTCGTTTTTGCAAATGAGCATAATGCGTGAATGAACACTAGGGAGGGCGTAACGTGACATTTGTTTCAACAAATGTGACAACTACTTTTAGCGTTTTTCAACACGGAAATCATGGAAAGAGTTGATGGAATAGAAGCTTTTGGCTCAGTGTTAACTTTAAGACCTGAGGTAATAGCCTACACATAACGGACAGGCTTCGCCTGAAAGGGGCACCTTTTTCAGGCTTCAGGTATATCAAAGGGTAGGGATTTCACTAGGTCAGTTTCTTCACACCTTGGGTATTCGGGTACCTTTTCTGTCAAAAATGGTATATGAAAGGGTAAGGGATTGGATCTCGGGGCGAAGCCTTCCTTCATAAAATTTTAATGAGTACCCCCGGGGCTTTACGAGAGCCAAAGATTGGATCTGCATTTCATTTCGCTCTTTTTTTTTTTTTTTTTTTGCATTCCATTTAACTCAATGTATCATTCACTGCATAGAAACACCGCGTAAATAATATGTACCTGCACGCCTCCTTCATGTTTGCCTGATTCGACTTCGTCCATTGAGACAAGGGAATTTCAGTAGTCCCAAATTTGCAATGACCGCAAAGCAGTTACACTAGAGGAAAAAATCAAATGTTGTCACTTATCTTAATTTATGGAAAATGACCAAGGATACTGAAACAGCGATTCTTCCAGGACCTGTTTTGAAAAGGATCTAAGCCCAATACATATATGTTTCTGGCGCTGCAAGTATCCAGAAAAAAGGCTAAATGTTCACTGATCCTATCCCTAACTCGGCTTACCCATTCTCTTTGTAAGAGTCTGCAAGACTGAGATTGGGGACCTGAGGAATTACGCTACTGCGAGCACGCCCCTGAGATGAGTGCAAGGCATTTATTTCCTTCATTTTTCTGGTTCAACGGATCATTACTGCTACCTCACTGATGCCATGAGTCTCTACATTCAGCTATACAAATATAACAAAAGAACTTATGAACTTTCTTAAGCTGAGCAAGAACCGTTTCCCACAGTCTAACCTGTGTCAAGACATAACAATTTGAGGGAGACGGATTCCTTTTCTTCAAACCGGTGAACGTATATCAAATTTGCAATCGTTTTAAAAGGTCGTATGTAATGTTCATTCACATTTCACAGGACGGCAAAGGCCTTGTAAACAATCAGCTTCTGGCACAGAACTAAGGCCGGTACGTCCACACTCGGCCCTCGGATCGACTGAGTAACTAAAAAATAAAATAGGAGACTACTCTCAGTCTAGTCTACACTCGATACCGGATAGCTTTTCGTGCGAACATGCAATGCTATCCGGAAGACTGTATGAACTGCGATGGCACAGAACTGGAACAAGTCGTTTTAACGACACCAGAGTGGTTGGCCGATAGAGTTTGGTGCACTAAATTCTGATTCATTCATTGACTTCGGTTTCATTCGGGTTCGAGTCCTCACTCCTACTTTTAATTAGTTATTACTTCCGCCACGGTCCGAATACCTTTTCACAGCGACAAAGAGTGACAGAAACCTATCCGATATGCGACGACCCTCGTTCAAGATCGGCGTAGCTTCGTTCTCTTTTAGAAATCGCGCCGAAAACACCGTCTTATGTGTGAACAGAAGCCCTATCCGGAATGGTCTTAGCCCGGTGGGTGGACTTCGCATATGAAAGGGGTGGGGATGCTCGTCGTCTCGCTTAGGGGCCGTGAAGGTCTTGTTTAAGGTTGCACGTGAAAAAAATATAAAAATATTATATGGTCTGTGTTTTAACATGGTCTCTTTTAGGGGTCAAAAAAGCTTGGGCCACGCTCAGATCGGTCTCTTTTAGGGGTTTAATTCAAAATTTCCGACGAGTATCCCCACCCCTTTCATATGCGGAGTCCCCCCCCCCCGGGGGTTTAAGCAATCCGCTATAGCGTGCACAAAACCTTACACTGACTGGCACTTATGTCACGCTGCTAATTATGGGTAGCATAAATTACTATACGAAGCAATAAACTCAACAGCAATTTTTTTAAAAAAGGCAAATCAAAATGAAGATGCACATTTGAAATGCCAGTGCTGACAATGAGAAATTAATCGCACATAACGCTGTCACAACGTATCACTGGAATGGCTAATAGTGGATGTGAGAGAAGCGACAAATGCCGGATTACATCTGAGTTCTGACTGTCTAGCATGTATGTGGATAGAATCAATTTAAGAAAACAGAGCAACCTGTAAATAGTTTAAATTGGAAACGTGAACGAAACAATGTTGACGGCAAATGTTTATAATACATGCATGTAGCAATGTACCACAAACACAGGCCGGTTACCGTGGGCTAATCGAGTGAGCCACCCACTAAGCATCTCGTTTGTCAGTGAGTCAGTGATGATGCGTGAGTCATAACTTCCTCTTCGAAGATAACACTCACGCTCAGTTTTTGTTTTGCCTTATTGTGCTGGTCCTCAATGAGAAGCGAAATAAAATTGTAACGCTTTCAAGGCTTCCGTTCTATCTCGAGAGAAAATGTCTTGAATGGATCAACAGCTTATACGGCAAAATCGTTATCAAGCGCTTGGCAACCATGGAGTGCGGTTATCTAGTTATCTTGTACTATTGGCTATATCAAACTCAGCTCAGCGTCTCTGGGAAGTCATCGCAAGAATAAATTCGGCGATTTGTTCCGCGAAAAAGTGTATTTGAGTTGTGTGCGTGCGTATGTCCCTTTGCTAACCTTGATGTCGGTGATGCGAAACGTATTTTGCCTAAATATTACGGCAAAACTACTTTTGTTTAGAGATACCAAGCAAGTGGTAACCTGGGTTATTGCCATACTTTGGTGAATGACTAACGTGAAAGAAAAATAGTTTTTACCTTTAACTTGCTAGAGTAGCGGCGTCACTTGTGGACATTTATCGCTCACAGATGTTACTAAGCCTGCTATGCACCTAAGAGGCACACATCAAATACAAAGCGGACAATACATAATACACATTACTTGAATAGTTGTTTTGAAAATAAGGCCACCAAACCGGATCCACTAAACTTCTTACCTGATCCAATATCAAAGAAAAAAAAAAGAGATTTAATACTGAGGGAGGGGAGGGTCGGCATGACTGAAAGATTTAGAACAAAGTCAAGAAAGTCATGCGGATTTTAATATTCCGCATAATGTTAGTAATTATTATGCGCCGCTCAATGTTTACGTTTTCCCAGAGTTGGTGTCAGATTCTTTCTTAATGTAACCCGATTCTTGAACATGTTAGCATTTTATGTATCCTATCTATAGTATAAAGTACATTTTTCTGTTTTAAAATCAATGTTCACTCGGTTTTGGAAACGCTGCACTTTGCCAATTTCACAGACACTGATCTAGCTAGGGCAGTGGAAACCCAGCAAAACTTGAACGAACGTTTTCTATAAGAGTTCCGTTCAATTAAGACAAAAATGATTATGACTTGTCGTTGTCTAATTTTTTAACAAAATTTTAATATTGGAGATTTCAATAAACCCCTTTCTTTGATTCAACAGTTTACAAAATGTAAGTTTTAATTCGCGCCAGTATTCACGCACTCATTCTTTCAAAGCACATTTTTCTTCCACTTTCCACTCTTTCGGTCAGTGAAATGTCAAATTTAGTCATAATACGATCACTTCCGTCTTTGTTATGCAAACCATCGGTACTTTGGCACATACCATTCATGCTTTTTTGATTCAAGGTCACGCTTGTGGTTAAACCAAGCTGTGTTCTGGTTTTGCTTTAGACGGCTTTTCGTAACTGCTCAGAAGCTTTACAACAAGAATTCCTTTCTTAACAAGGAAATTGTGACAACTTGCAGTGAAGTCAAGTCCAGGTGGAACTACAAACACACTTAGTTAAGGTAAATCGTGAATTGCCCGCCTTCAATTTGCTTGCAGTTATGTTAATCGTCTCAAGCGAAGAATACGCGAAATCCTTTCTTTAACTTTTGCCTTCAGAGCTATAATAGCGTTAAAGCACGGTTTAGATTCTCTCTTGATCTTAATAGGTTATGGCTGCTTTCCATTTCGGTGCAAGCAAAAACTCAACGGCATCTAAATCTCATTTCAAAAGCTATTTGTTTATCACTAGTTCGGAACGCTAGATGCCATAAGATATCCTTTCCGTATTGTAAATGATGGCATGGAAGTCAGACTCGATCAAGCTTTTGATATAGAAATGTAGTCAATCGGAAGTAAATTTGAATCTCCTTATTTCAAAGGTTTCTTATTATTGAATGACTAATATCAAAAGGCCTTGGACACCTGACTAAAATTTTGCTTTTCCTAAATATGAACCCAGAAGTCGAACTTTGTACCGTATAGGGATCCTCGGATGTATCTATATTAAGACCAGCTTCTCTCGAATTTCTTCCTCAATACCTTGATCACATTTCCTAATCCATTTGGTTATATCTAACTGAACCGCATCTATGTGCTAATTCACTATAATGTTTATGCCAGCGGGCAATATGATAATATTTTATAAGACGAAATATATGTTTTAATAGATGTACCCCGTATTTGTAAGTTAACTTTTTTATCGGGACTTAATAATAATATAATAATGGTAAAGCCTTTTAAAACTTCCGCTTGAAATACGATAATAGTTGTGTTCATAAACACGAATATTTTACATATTTCGCAATATGGCACTTTGACGATTACTACTTGTTCATTCAACTGTATCCACTGTTGTGTGTGTTTTTTAACACGACATCTTACATAAGTTAATACTTGCTTTGCAACCACGTGAAAAGGCGGCCATGTCTGCCGGCAAAATAATACACTTTTTGTTCGAGAATTTGCATGAAAAAAAGAGGGTGGATTCATTTGTTTTTAAGTTTAGATTCATTTGCAATATATTATATGCATTATAGTCGTGCTTGCTTTCATTAATTTCTGGCAAAAACTTCCAACGGGCAAATGCGACGGATAACGAGTATGCTTGAAATCAATTTACACGAAGCTTAATTTTAAAGCCATGAAAAATTTCCAACGAGCATTCGCGACGGTTAATGATTACCCGCATGTTGCAAATGAATACACCCTTTATTAGACCGTGACCGTTCACAGTCCCCTATTTTTCCGTAAGATCGACCAGATCTAGTGGTTGCCGTCACTGGCAGCCATTTTGTAAGTGGTTTCAAATGTGGCGAGAAAATGAGCGAACGCGAACTGCAGTTCTGTTTCGATTGTTCCTCTATTTTATTTTTTCGCCTCCTCCCAAACCGTCCTCCGCCTCCCTTGTAGATTGATCGTCGGTCAAGATGGCCGCCTGAAGCGCTCCTTCTCGACCATCTTGCACTGAGTGCTTTTGATCTGAAATCTTGCTTTTGATTTTACAATTAGGATATCAGAAATGCAATAAAACATCTTATCTAAAATGGACTTCAAAGCCGAGAAATCCGTTCTCAAGGTGGATTTCAATCAAGAAGTCCAACTCAGGATTTCATTGAATGACTCGGTCCTTAATGTTATTTTTAGGAAATACGAAAAAGGAAATGCAAAAATGTTCTTGTGAACAGTTTTCTTTTTCTTCTTATTGCAATGCGCGTATCTTAAGACCGCTGTTTATGTGGAGAACAGTTTTGCCAATTTCCGCTGGAAAAGAGATGAAAGAAAAATCAATGAACCGCCGGACTTGGATTACTGAAGGTGATTCTCTTGAAAACGAACCTGACATAGATTTTCGGTGCAATTTGGTGCACTGTTGTAACAAGTCAAGAGAAAGTTAAAAGAGGTAGACTCGCAGTCTCTTATTTTTCTTTGCAAATTTACAAAAGCCAAGCACGTGAACCGCGATAAACGAGTGCGCAAGCCCGAGAAGAAAAAAATAAGAGACTTCTGACTCTTTTGTTCTGTCTGGGGACAACAAAGCTGTCAAGGTAATTAAACCCGAGTAACTTGAAACAATTTATAAATAGGACATAAACAACTGAAAAATTACACTTTCTTTAAATCCGGTAAGATTGCTTTGAATTTCTTTCCTTGAGGAAATTTACAGCAGTATCCTTCTGTAAGATATCCTTAAACATTTTAGTTTACAAGCGATTACCGCTTGATTCGTTATCACGGTTCGCAGTTGGGTTGTGACGTGTGACTATTTTTATCGCTTGCAACTCCACCCACCAGAGACCAGTCAATGATCCGTCAGCAGCTGTAAAATTGACCAATCGGTTACTCCGTCTCTCGGCTGACGGAGGGCTTGTTTACTAGAGTCCACAGTCCGTCTTTTCTCGTCTCGTCTTAAACCCTTATTGTAACATACCGTCGTGGTTTCCAATCGCGCTGGCTGAGATAAGAACTAAACGGATTTTAAGAGAAAAGGCGAACTACAAGCAGACTATAAAAGAGAGGGTCACCCTGCTCGTTTTCACGGTACAGTGCTGCTAAATACAGCTATTTAGACACCTTTGGTAATAACTGCCCGCAGCCCAAAACTTGTAGACAAAAAGGCGCCATGATGATGCCTGTGCGTGATAAGGAACGCGGTTTGACTTATCCGCTTAAGGGCCACTTAACTTGCAAAAGGACGCAACATTGTTGGCTAACAACTCCCAACATTGTTGGATGTTACAGTTGCGTCCGTTTGCACGCTCTGTTGCATGTTGCTGAGTGTTATTAAGAGTGGTTGTGCAAAGTTTGAAACCGGTCAAACTTTTGAGCCATCAACTCCCAACATTTCTCTTGTTCCGTATCTCCAAAGCGTAACGCAACAATGTTGGATCCGTTTACACAGCTCTTCCAACTTTGTTGGGGCCTCGCACGCGCAAAAGATGGCTGTCAAATTCAAGTTTACTAAGTCTCATGGGGTTGTATCCTTCCCACTAAGCACTGCAGGTCCCAACATTGTTAGTTTTGTTGCATCCATTTTCACACCACTGACTTATGGACGCAACAATCTTTGTATTGTTGGCCCAACAATGTTGGAAGTTGCTGCGTCCGTTTGCCAGAAGCTTAACGTATCAGTCTTTTGATGCCTGTGTTTCTAGTTGACGCTTCAGAGTAGACTTAATATGTATGCCGGTTGTTCGACTCATCACAGTTAAAACCTTAATTTGCAATTTAAAAATGATGTTTCTTTAGAAGCTCTCATTTTCACGGCCGCTGTCATATGTGCAGAATGAGATGCGCAGTGAAAAACTTACACTGACCTTAATTTAAATTGAACTTGAGGATGGATTTCTCGTCACTGAAATCCGTTTTTCGAGTTCAAGTTTTAATTTCAAAATCTAAATCCAGATTTCCCAATGACAAGCACCCACATAGTTCCGAGCAGCATAATTTTGCACTTTTTCACGAATCCATTGAAAATATTTTAAAAATATCTTTTAAATAATTTGTCAATTTTTGGTCAACAGTTGTTGAAACGAAAAACTTACTTTCCCACTTGTTTATATCTTAGGAATCTTGTAATCTGACCGTGCAACATGGAGCAAATGAAGTTTGAAGAAGATCCAGCTTATCAGGTGTGCATCTAACTTTCAATTTAATTTTTCACTTTTAACAAATGAAACCTTCGCCTGGGATGGTGGGTAACTTCTTTAACACCAACCAGAGCGCATCTCAGTCCCCAGGCAGGGTTTCAGAAGATCTTTGTTGTTCTAAAAGCAAGCTGTCCGACCACGCGACTAATCTGACACAAAGAACAGTACAATAACACAAATTCCAATCGCATCACTATTTCTTTAAGCAGTTGAAACTAGGTTAAATTAATTTTGGAGAAGATTGGTTCTCGTCCAAACGCTCGCACAATTTTGAGGACCGCTCAAAACAAGAGCGTCATCAGTGCGGTATTTTCAATCTAGAGTCGAGCGATTTACCTCCACCGGTCCTTATCACCGCTCAGACAACTTCCTCTTGGATACATTTCGGTCGACTGAGTCACTTGTTTTTGGAAAAGACATTAGAATTGTAAACTAATGCAGCTATGAAGGACTCTTATATAGTTTACCACTGATTCAGGTATAAAAGTAAATCAAAGATAAACAGCTTCCTCGTCCAATCAAGGAAGCGTAAAGGTAGTGTTTCCTTTATTAATCCCTCTGATCAGTCCTCGAATCTAAAAGTGTAATAAACTTAGTCAAAGCATTTTGTATTCCCAACAGGAGGCTTGTAGGCGATTGTTGTTCAGTGATGGCACACGAACAGCTCTTGTTATTAGCTCTCTGCTGACGCTTTTCCCCATTGGAATAATTTCTTTGGTGTTTTGGATTCTGGTAAGCACTCAGTTACATTGTTGTTGTCATTGGAAGCGCTGTTTTGAACATTTTCTAGAAAAATGTATTTATTTGTCTCGCTTAATCAATTACTTACTCACTCAAAAATTAACCCACCCACTCAACTCGCCCATACCCTCAGCCTGTTCATCCATCCATCCATCCATCCATCTTCTTTTCTGGGCATAGTTATAACGGATGCAAAACTAAATCTCTTTTTTTTTTCTTGTAGGCACGAAGGGCTGGGTCAATGGGACGCAAGAAGAGGGAAGCAGAAAACTTTCACGAGGCCGAAAACATGGCTCTGACGTCAATTTCGTTTGGATTGTGTGCCATACTAACTATTTTAATCTGCATTCCACAGTTAAAGGACGCAGGTGTCAACTGAGATGACTGTTTATAACGATTATTTGGGTTTCAGGTCAAAACGCACCAAACTGCACTTGTAATTCTTCAGTAAATTTTTCATGCAAACTCGGCGAAGACGAAGAAAAGTTTGCTATGTTCTTCCACTGCCATGTAATTCTTTAGACCTAAGCACCTTAACCCTGACTTTTCCTTAAAATACTGTTTGCACTTGTATAGTTTCTAGTCTAGTCTTAAGGCTCATAATCATTATAGCACTAAAGCTTTTGACTGGATCTGACAGTCTTCATGAGCAATTACTGAGCTCCTTATGTGTATTTTTAGGTGGCAAAAAGGGATTAAAATTGCCGGTGTAAGGATGACCCCCTCTTGTAACTAGAGATAGCGTCGGACATGGATGGCCTATGTCCTGGTTAAGGATTTTGAACCCCTCCTAATCGATTTCAGGATTGGCCCTGGCGTTCCCAGATTGTTGTTTGTTTCTGATGTTCGCCCAGCTTTCGCCCAGTCTGTTCTCTTGAACCCTAGCTGTCCTCCTGTGTAATACTGTGTACAACTCAGTTCTTGTATTTGCAGTATAGCCAGCTAAAGTGCAGATTTGTGCGTTCCTAGTTTACTGAAAACCAAAACGACGTCCACCAGGACACTTTCTCGCTATTGTCTTTTTGTAGAATTGTTGTATGGGTTTTTGCAGAAACTTTGTTAAATAAAATAACATCATTATGATAACGGCTTGAGACTGTATTGCATTTATGTTTCTTAATCGGTTCTCCTACTAGACATCCCTTGTTAAGTTATGATTATGGGTTAAGATGCTCGTAATGACTTTGACGTCACAAGTCGTTCAAAAGCCATGGGTGTCATCGCGGACAAAAGCATTTCATCAATTTGTGACGTGTCTCAAGGATAAATCTGGATATTTTTCCCAAGAATTCTGGCCTCTTTAGACCGCAAGGGCAATGCTATTGCAAATTCTTAATCAGGCCGTTTTAAGCAGCACAAATGAGGGTTTTTGTCGGAGTAGTTAGTGGAATTTCGAGTCACTCTAGTACAACCAACGAGTGTATGTGTCTATTTGCTGCTAATGGAAGACCAAGAAGTCTATAATCCTTTTGATATCCAATCTGAGCGCCAATTTCCGAAAAAACAAGGACAAAAGCAGCAGCAAAGCTGGAAAAGCAAAAATATTTATGTCCAAATAGCGCCTCCCTCCTCCCATACCATGCATTCCTGGCTCCGGCCCATTTTGTCTTTGCTCTAGCCCCTTTTTGATTGCGAAATATTAAGCATTATTGCATTTTAATAATGATAACAATGAACTTTATTAAAGTCTCATGTCTTATAGCTCAGGCACAGTGCCTTACTAATTGGGGAGACATATTGTCGCATATTGTATTTCTCTAGCTTCCTGCTTCAAGAAAAAGGCTAATGGACCTAGAAAATTAAAGAAAAAAAAAAAATAATAACGTGGTCTATGAAGTTGGGTGGAGTTGTTATTTAGAGAGGGGAAAACTCAGTTGACAGTCACAAAAAGAACTGATTAACTTGTGGTCTATAAATGACCATGTCATGTCTCAATGCTCCTTATTCACTGTATTCCTTTAATACTGAGCCCCAATCTGGCTTTTATATAAGCTAAGATATTGCATAAAAAATAAATATCCACAAAGGTAAACCGCTTATTATGGCAAGCACATTTAGCCACTTGGCAATGTTTGAGTTTCTGACTGCTCCTTGGTGATCTCCTCTTTTGAGTGACTCGTTGACCTGAAACCGAACGTGAAAAAAGATTATGTGAGTAAAAAATGGACACATTTGATAATAAACTTTTTGGACGCTAAAGTTTAATCAGTCTTGAACTTTTTACACACAATTGTTAGCGGATTCAATTCATGTGTACAGCTTGCTGAATGAATTTATTATTTTTTAGCGCAACTTAAGATAAAAGGAGTGTCAGTTTAGGGTAAAGAATAATTTAAAATTGTATATTAATTTTAATGATGAGTGTATTGGAAATACGTGTACGCGTCCTCTGGGATACACAGAGGATCTAACGTGGCCAGCCCGGGAGCACAAGATCAGTAAGAGAGCCAGTATCCACTACTTGATCCTTGTTTGAGAGGTAATTCTTCTCCCATAATTGGTAGCAACAAATTTAATATCTGTTAATGAAGCAATAGCCAGTAAGGTATCAGGGTTTTTCTTCTGATTTTGACGCAATACCTAATTGATTATTTGCGATTTCTACTGCTGAGCTTTACTTTCTGGTGAACACCACTACAGTTTTTTGAAAATACTATTTGCCTACGAAATGAGAAAATTACAACAGATTCACTCTCACACCTCCTGTATTCCCGAACTTACGAGGGTTAGGATTAGGATTAGCTGTAGCTCATAAGTAAACAGACCGGTAGGCAAATGCAAAGTAACGATGGCCGAAATTATCTTACCAGATAAGTAAACACAAAGGCCATTATTCCAAGTGGTAGCGTACAAAATATGACAGAAAAAATAGAAAGTGCCATCCAGTTTGAAGGAGGAGTCGGAGCCACTACAACAGGTCTCTGAATTTAGATATACAGAAGTAAATATTAGTAGTGTATGTGATTAGATTTATACAAGCAAGTTATCTGCTGTTAAAACAGCGTTACATTCTTATTCGTTAAGCCGTTTATTATGACACCATGGCCAGTGACAAATCGTCAACAAAGCTTCAACTCTTGTAGTGAAGCCAGCACCTTTTAATTTCTGTTGGAAAAAGTGATCTCAGATTCTGGGGAGGAGATTTTACTTGCGAGATACAAAGAAAAAAACTCGGAACCTCCAACCAAATTCGAACTTCGAAACACATCACAAGACCGCGCCCCGTCAACGATTATGTAAAACTGTAAAATACCTGCTGCATTTGTGCAGGCTGAGCTGTCGGCACAGGTAAACCATTATGCAAGTGTGCCACTTGTGGCACAGGTGGCCCATTTGGTGTAGTAATTATAGTTGCTGCACTACTGTAAGGAGGCTGCTGAACGGTGACAGGTGGGGCATGGTACTGCCGTGGTTGAACTTGGTAACCGTGCTAAAATAGTTGCCACAATGCAAAGTACAAAAATTAAACACTGTTTTATCACTGGGCTATCTATCATTAAGATCCATTAAGGTTTGAACATAATCAATGAGCTTTTGATTTAAGAAAAAATATCTGTTAGGAAGTTCAACGCAAAGAAGCGAAAACAGAATACCACGCGAGTCAGAGGGATATTTATCAAAATCAGTTAAACTCGTGTGCTTTTAATGAAAAAAACTTTACTCCGAGTAGATTCCGTGAAAAATGAAAAGATTGGTACAACTAGGTACCTTTTTTTAAAGAATATCCCTCCCTATTTTTTAACTTTATGATAGGTGAGATTTAACTACTGCTCACACCTTTTACTTTTTACGGCGGTTGAGCCGATGTTTACTCCGGCCCCAAATAAAAACGTTAAGGCCAAATAATACAAGAAGCGTGTGTCATCAGTGCATGGACATTTCGATGAAGATTTCTCCAGCTTGTGATAATTTTTATTTCTTTTTGCCTGTTGGCGCATTAAAAACGTTACAATGGTCTTAAGACATAGTCTTACATTGGTATATGACGTAGTAGAAACTTGGACTGATTGTTGACCAGTAGGTTGTGCTGTCTGAAATGGGACGCCAGACTGTGCCAACACAACACCACCAAAGTTCGGTCGAGCCTGAGAATTTCCTTGAAGCTGGACGCCAGGCTGTGCCAATACAACACCACCAAGCTTCGGTCGAGCCTGAGAAGTTGCGGACAGTATCTGCCTTGCTAGTCGAGTAGGAAACAGAATCTGACCCAAATCAGTTCCACCAGTGTCGCCTCCCACGTTAAGCCCTAGATTTGCGTCAATGCTCAATCCGCCATCGCAGCTTGAACCTTGTGACATAGGTTTCAAGTTCAAGAGTCAAGTTTATTGTTTTGCCATAAGATTTGCGAAGCAGAAGAAGTTGTAAATATTAAAAAGCTAATGGCGAGGAGGCCAAAAGGAAACCACCAGGCTTAAAAGGAATAGGCTTCCTCAAAAGAATTATAATAACGAAGTAAACTGAGAGGTATACATGCCGCAAAATCAATGAAAGAGCTACTGTAAATATCAAAATATATTATTAGAGAGTTAGTTCGGCGAAAAAATGTCAAGCGAAGATAATAAGGAAAAGATTCCTATTCCGTTTACCAATCAAAAACGTGAACATTTCTTTCGCCCCCATGTAAGGCGATCCAAGACAGTCTTGGATTATATTCTGAATTCCGGAGCTACTGGATTCCGAATTCTTTGTCAGTGGAACTTGGATACGGGATTCCAATAGTTAGCGGGATTCCGGATCCGGATTCCACAAGCAAAAATTTCCCAGATTCCGGAATCTGCATTGCCTTGCATGAGGCAATTTCTGCAGAGGCCAAGCAGTCAGTTCGCTGCACTATTTCCATACAAATATACAAAAGAACTTGTTACCTGAGAAGTCGAGTGCCAAATCCTCCATGATTTACCTTGCCTGTATCACTGGCTGTAAGCAATGTTCGGTAAGCTGTTATTTGCAAATGAACTACTGACACATAGATTTACACAGGGAAAATATAAACGATAAAAAAGTATTGAACTTGTACATGCAGTGCAAGTGCTTGTTTTATGCGTCACTCTCTTTAATGTTTCCGCATAGCGCCCTTAGATTGCCATGCCTGTGTGTCTCAGCTTTGAGCTGCACCCTCTGCCTCATTGACGGAAACTGCGTTCTAACATTTCATCCATCTAACATTTCAAGCATCGTTATCTTTTCTGCAAACATAAACCATTTTTATATTTTTAAAAAAGCTTTACTGAAACATTTTTTTGAACACAAACTCGAAAATTCCGTGGTTTCTGCTACAAATGAGTTGACGCTAACCATCAGTCGACAAACATGTCCCAAGAGGAAAAAAGAGACCGCTTTTAAAGATAAATAATTTTGAAAAAATAGGAAAAAAAGACAAAAACAAAAATCTTTAAGGGTTGTTATCAACACTACGTTCGATAAATTTGGCTCGTAAGATCCACGCAGATATGGATCCAACATGCTTGAACGCAGTAACGTCAGTTATATTGACTATTGAGTACTTTAACCACTGAATTTTTAGTCGAATTACTTCCTTAGTCCATTCGTCCTTTTAAGCCGCTTTTGCAGTCATGGCACAGTGGCGCCGTAAACAATTTTAATTTGTTTAAAAACAGAATAACTGGAAAAAGAGAGAGATCAAGAGCTGCAGAAGGACTGATGTGTGCGGCTCATCCCGATACACCGGCCGTGTGGCCATATTCAATTTTGCCTTTGTGACGATCGATTGGTCTTTCCATTTGATTTCATAATGCCTACTTGAGACTAGATGGCGCTTATGCACAAGGACGGCCAGTCCGCAACTTGTGCAGCAAGGAATATTGGCTGTGAGCGCGGAAACGTTACTCACAGGACGATCGTTTAATCCCACTTTAGGACAGAAAATTCTTGACGCGCTTTAAGAACTTTTGCTACAATAATGAAGCATTTATTGAAGCGAAGCGATGAGACGTTAACGATGTTAAAAAAGAAGCGATACGTAGCGAAGCGATGAATAGGCGGTGTAGACGAATTCGAAGGAAACGATTTACAAAGCGGTTTCGACAACTAAGAAATAAATACAACGAAAACTATAGTTAGATTAACTAGAAACTACCTTAAAAATACGAAAACAAACTTTGAATTTCATGAATACGATGCCAAAAAAGGCTTTATAAAACGTAACATGCACAAAGTGAAAAGACTTACGTCTGTGTCCGCCTGTGTTCGCGTTAGGGATTTCACAGCGTTGACGTTGAGCCATACTTTGATCTTAGCACGATGACACGTTGACTAGAACTGAAAAAGTTTCATGAGCACGTTCGACAATGCTAACTAGTACCAAGGATAATAGATTTCTTTGTTTGTAAATCATACGTAGGCAAGTATATCCACGGCAAAAACCACAAATACTATAACATAAAAACTCAAAAGAAACTACAAAGGGTTCGAAAGGAAATACGAAAACCAGAAAATATTTGGCAGTAACATTCCCGGTCCCTTAAACACTACAAGTTGTTTAACACTTTAAAAATCAGGATAAACAGAAAACTAAGCAAACAGAAGTTTCCTCACCGAGCTGCTCTAATTAAGCCCTGCGAAGGACAGCAAACGATAATGAAGAAGAATACGGAAGTACTGTTGCAAGTACTGTTTGGCATCATCCATTATCACACTGAATTACAGAAAAACTTCGCCAGCAAAACATCGACTGGAAATTCAATCCCCCTGCTACAAGTCTGGGAAAGACAAATGCGGACGGCACGTCGAATTCTTGATACTTTATTACGTGAACACGGAAGTCGTATAGATTATGATTTAGGTGTTCAATACGGCCGACGATTTCTGGAGTGCGAATCTGTTTGGCGTCGGCAGGAATCTCTTGTCTTGTGTAGGCTCTTGGAAGTTCAACAGGATTTTTGCCGTTCAAGTCAGTTACAACAAGATCTTTGACAATGGCGCTGTCTACAAGGCTCTGGCCGTGCATGGTTCCTAATTGAATCTTCATAACGGTACTTGTAGCCACAAGGCGCGTCTTGAGACGCTCGGTGATAAGCATCCTGCGCTTCCATTATCATAGAATGCATACGTCTTCACTGCCTTGTTGATGCCTTTCTGTCAGTACCACAGGGAGAATGGTCTGCAGCAGGATATCGTTTTCAAGATTAGACTCTTGGGGGATGTCCACACATGCATTGTTCACCTTCAGCGGTTTATCGTTGCCAGTCGTTTCTCTGCTAACGGCGCCACTTTCTTTGTCAAGGGAGAAGCCTTCTATATGGAGTAGAGTGGGGTGTGGCCTTTTGCATTTCTTGCATGTTCTCTTTTTTGTGCAATTCTTCGAAAGACGATTTTTGCTGTAATAAGCATAACAGAGCGCTTTTTCCGATAAGAAGGACTTCCTTTGTTCCACGGACTTGTTCTTGTAGGCATCACAATCTTCCAAGTCATGTGACTTTTCGCACAGGGGACATCTTCGTGCGTTAACGTTTTGGTTTGAAAAACCCGGTCCCGTGTGAAGACGGAGGCTTGGGGACGGTATCCAAACCGGTGACAAAACTATCGAATTTAGACTTGAAGGGTGGGAACTCTTTGCTGCTCTGTGGAGGGCCGTTTCTCCGTTGTCTTGTCTTATTAAGCGCTTCTTTGCCATAAACTGGATCATTCGCAGACTCGCAGCATATTCTAAGAATTCTACTAGTTCTGCGAAGCCCGCAACCAACCGTGCTCCGCCTCCTTTGTAGATTGATAGTCGGTCAAGATGGCCGCCTGAAGCGCTCCTTCTCGACCATCTTACGGAAAAATAAGGCCCTGTGAACAGTCTAACCCTTGGCGACACTGAGTGCTTTTGATGGGAAATCTTGTTTTTGATTTGAAAATTCGGATATCGGAAATGCAATAAAACATCTTATCCAAAATGGATTGCAAAGCCAAGAAATTCGTTCTCAAGGTGGATTTCAATCAAGAAGTCCAACTCGGGATTTCATTAAATTACTCGGTCTTTACTGTTGTTTTTAGGAAATACGAAAAAGGAATTGCAAAAAGGTTCTTGTGAACAGTGGTCTTTTTCTTCTTATTATAATGCGCAGCTGTTCATGTGGAAAACATATTTGCCAATTTCCCCGGAAAAAGAGATGAAAAAAAAATTGGACTTGGATTACTTGAGGCTGATTCTCTAGTAAACGAACCTGACATGGATTTTTGATGTAATTTGGTGCACTGGTTTAACAAGTCAAGAGAAAGTTATAAGAGGGGGTCACCCTGCTCTATTTCACGGTACAGTGCTGCTAAAAATACGGCTATTTAGTCACCTTTGCTAATAACTGCTCGCAGCCCAAAACTTGTAGACAAAAAGGCGCCATGATGATGCCTCTGCGTGATAAGGCACGCGGTTTGACTTTATTCTATTGTTTATCCGCTTTAGCCACTTGCAAAAGGACGCAACATTGTTGGCTAACAACTCCCAACATTGTAGGATGTTACAGTCGCGTCCATTTGCACACCCTGTTGCATGTTGTTGAGTGTTAGTGGGAGTTGTTGCGCAAAGTTTGAAACTGGTCAAACGTTTGAGCCAATAACTCCCAACATTTCTTTTGTTCCGTATCTCCAAAGCATAACGCAACAATATTGGATCCGTTTACACAGCTCTTCCAACATTGCTGGGGCAACGCACGCGCCAAAGATGGCTGTCGAATTCTTATGGGGTTGTATCCTTTCCATTATGCACTGCAGGTACAAACACTGTTGGGAGTTGTTCCATCCGTTTTCACACCACTGCAACACGGACGCAACAATTGTCTTTGTATTAGGGACCTTAAGCAAAGACGTTTTTGAGCGACGCACGTCAACCGGAAGTGAGGCCTTCTCCCTCTTTATATGCCTTGACGCTAACAAACTTGTATTGCTGAGTTTCTTTTCTCTTTTAAAGACGATTTACCCGAGAGTTTCAACCAAACCACTCCCCAATGATGCAAAAAGTTCACTTCCGGTTGACGTCCGTCGCTCAAAAACGCTGTTGCTTAAGCTCCCTATTGTTGGCCCAACAATGTTGGGAGTTGTTGCGTCCGTTTGCCAGAAGCTCAACGTATCAGAAAAATGTCTTTTGATGACTTTGTTTCTAGTTGACGCTTCAAAGTAGACTTAATATGTTTGCCGGTAGTTCGACTCACCACAGTTAAAACGTTAATTTGCAATTTAAAAATGATGTTTCTTTAGAAGCTCTCATTTTCACGGCCGCTGTCATATGTGCAGAATGATATGCGCAGTGCAAAACTTACACTGACCTTAATTGAAATTGAACTTGAGGATGTATTTCTCGCCATTGAAATCCGTTTTTCGAGTTCATGTTTGAATTTCAAAATCTAAATCCAGATTTCCCAATGACAAGCACCCACATAGTTCCGAGCAGTATAATTTTGCACTTTTTAAAGAATCCATTGAAAATAATGTTAAAAATATCTTATAAATAATTTGTCAATTTTTGGTCAACAGTTGCTGAAACGAAAATCGTACTTTCCCACTTGTTTGTGTCTTAGGAATCTTGTAATCTGACCGTGCAACATGGAGCAAATGAAGTTTGAAGAAGATCCAGCTTATCAGGTGTGCATCTAACTTTCAATTTAATTTTTCACTTTTAACAAATGAAACCTTCGCCTGGGATGGTGGGTAACTTCTTTAACACCAACCAGAGCGCATCTCAGTCCCCAGGCAGGGTTTCAGAAGATCTTTGTTGTTCTAAAAGCAAGCTGTCCGACCACGCGACTAATCTGACACAAAGAACAGTACAATAACACAAATTCCAATCGCATCACTATTTCTTTAAGTAGTTGAAACTAGGTTAAATTAATTTTGGGGAAGATTGGTTCTCGTCCAAACACTCGCACAATTTTGAGGACCGCTCAAAACAAGAGCGTCATCAGTGCGGTATTTTCAATCTAGAGTCGAGCGATTTACTTCCACCGGTCCTTATCACCGCTCAGACAACTTCCTCCTGGATACATTTCAGTCGACTGAGTCACTTGTTTTTGGAAAAGACATCAGAATTGTAAACTAATGCAGCTATGAAGGACTCTTATATAGTTTACCACTGATTCAGGTATAAAAGTAAATCAAAGATAAACAGCTTCCTCGTCCAATCAAGGAAGCGTAAAGGTAGTGTTTCCTTTATTAATCCCTCTGATCAGTCCTCGAATCTAAAAGTGTAATAAACTTAGTCAAAGCATTTTGTATTCCTGACAGGAGGCTTGTAGGCGATTGTTGTTCAGTGATGGCACACGAACAGCTCTTGTTATTAGCTCTCTGCTGACGCTTTTCCCCATTGGAATAATTTCTTTGGTGTTTTGGATTCTGGTAAGCACTCAGTTACATTGTTGTTGTTATTGGAAGCGCTGTTTTGAACATTTTCTAAAAAATGCTTTTATTTGTCTCGATTAATCAAAAATTAACCCACCCACTCAACTCGCTCATACCCTCAGTCTGTTCATCCATCCATCCATCCATCCATCCATCCATCCATCCATCCATCCATCTTCTTTTTCTGGGCACAGGTATAACGGATGCAAAACTAAATCTCTTTTTTTTCTTGTAGGCACGAAGGGCTGGGTCAATGGGACGCAAGAAGAGGGAAGCAGAAAACTTTCACGAGGCCGAAAACATGGCTCTGACGTCAATTTCGTTTGGATTGTGTGCCATACTAACTATTTTAATCTGAATTCCACAGTTAAAGGACGCAGGTGTCAACTGAGATGACTGTTTATAACGATTATTTGGGTTTCAGGTCAAAACTCACCAAACTGCACTTGTAATTCTTCAGTAAATTTTTCATGCAAACTCGGCGAAGGCGAAGAAAAGTTTGCTATGTTTTTCCACTGCCATGTAATTCTTTAGACCTAAGCACCTTAACCCTGACTTTTCCTTAAAATACTGTTTGCACTTGTATAATTTCTAGTCTAGTCTTAAGGCCCATAATCATTATAGCACTGCAGCTTTTGACTGGATCTGTCAGTCTTCACAAGCAACAACTGAGCTCTTTATGTGTATTTTTAGGTGGCAGAAAGGGATTAAAATTGCGGTTGTAATGATAACCCCCTCTTCTAACTAGAGATAGTGTCGGACATATGGACATATGGCCTATGTCCTGGTTAAGGATTTTGAACCCCTCCTAATCGATTTCAGGATTGGCCTTGGCGTTCCTAGATTGTTATTTGCTTCTGATGTTCGCCCAGCTTTCGCCCAGTCTGTTCTCTTGAACCCTAGCTGTCCTCCTGTGTAATACTGTGTACAACTCAGGTCTTCTATTTGTAGTATAGCCAGCCAAAGTGCAGATTTGTGCGTTCCTAGTTTACTGAAAACCAAAACGACGTCCACCAGGACACTTTCTCGCTATTGTCTTTTTGTAGAATTGTTGTATGGGTTTTTGCATAAACTTTGTTAAATAAAATAACATCATTATGATAACGGCTTGAGACTGTATTGCATTTATGTTTCTTAATCGGTTCTCCTATTAGACATCCCTTGTTAAGTTATGATTATGGGTTAAAATGCTCGTAATGACTTTGACGTCACAAGTCGTTCAAAAGCCATGGGTGTCATCGCGGACAAAAGCATTTCATCGATTTGTGACGCGTCTCAAGGATAAATCTGGATATTTTCCCCAAGAATTCTGGCCACTTTAGACCGCAAGGGCAATGCTATTGCAAATTCTTAATCAGGCCGTTTTAAGTAGCAAAAATAGGGGTTCTTGTCGGAGTAGTTAGTGGAATTTCGAGTCATTCAAGTACAGCCAACGAGTGTATAATCCTTTGGATATCCAATCTGAGCACCAATTTCCGAAAAAACGAGGACAAAAGCAGCAGCAAAGCTGGAAAAGCAAAAATATTTATGTCCAAGTAGCGCCTCCCTCCTCTCATACCGTGCATTCCTTGCTCCGGCCCATTTTGTCTTTTTCTTTAGCCCCTTTTTGATTGCGAAATAGTAAGCATTATTGCATAATAATAATAATAATAACAATGAACTTTATTAAAGTCTCATGTCTTATAGCTCAGGCACAGTGCCTTACTAATTGGGGAGACATATTGTCGCATATTGTATTTCTATAGCTTCCTGCTTCAAGAAAAAGGCTAATGGACCTAGAAAATTAAAGAAAAAAGGAAAAATAATAACGTGGTCTTTGAAGTTGGGTGGAGTTGTTCTTTAGAGAGGGGAAGACTTAACAGTCACAAAAAGAACTGATTATTTTGTGGTCTATAAATGACCATGTCATGTCTCAATGTTCCGTATTCCTTTTATACTGAGCCCCAATTTAGCTTCTATATAAGCTAATATATTACATAAAAAATAAATATCCACAAAGGTAAACCGCTTATTATGGCAAGCACATTTAGCCACTTAGCAGCGTTTGAGTTTCTGACTGCTTCTTGGTGATCTCCTCTTTTGAGTGACTCGTTGACCTGAAACCGAACGTGAAAAAAAGATTATGTGAGTAAAAAATGGACACATTTGATAGTAAACTTCTTGGACGCTAAAGTTTAATCAGTTTACACACAATTGTTAGCGGATTCAATTCATCGTGTATAGGTTGCTATAATGAATTTATTACTTTTCTAGCGCAACTTAAGATGAAAGGAGTGTCAGTTCAGGGAAAAGAATAATTTAAAAATTGTATATTAGTTTTCTAATTTGTTGGAAATGATGACTACATTCGAAATACGTGTACGTGTCCTCTGGGATACGCAGAGGATCTAACATGGCCAGGGGAGCACAAGATCAGTAAGAGAGCCTGTACCCATTTCTTGTTCCTTTTTGCGATTTCTGCTGCTGAGCTTTACTTTCTCGTGAACACCACTACAGTTTTTTAAGAATACTATTTGCCTACGAAATGAGAAAAATACAACAGATTCACTCTCACACCTCCTGTATTCCCAAACTTACGAGGGTTAGGGTTAGGATTAGCCGTAGCTCATAAGTAAACAGACCGGTAGGCAAATGCAAAGTAACGATAGTCGAAATTATCTTACCAGATAAGAGAACATAAAGGCTATTATTCCAAGTGGCGTACAAAATATGACAGAAAAAATAGAAAGTGCCATCCAGTTTGGAGAAGGAGTCGGAGCCACTACAACAGGTCTCTAAGTTTAGATATACAGAAGTAAATATTAGTAGTGCACGTGATTAGATTTATACAAGCAAGTTATCTGCTGTGAAAACAGCTTTACATTCTTATTCGTTAAGTCGTTTATTATGACACCAGTGACAAATCGTCAACAAAGCTTCAACTCATGTAGTGAAGCCAGCACCTTTTAATTTCTGTTGGAAAAAAGTGATCTCAGATTCTGGGGAGGAGATTTTACTTGCCAGATACAAAGAAAAAGACTCTGAACCTCCAACCGAATTCCGGAACTTCGAAACACATCACACGACCGCGCCCCGTCAACGATTATGTAAAACTGTAAAATACCTGCTGCATTTGTGCAAGCTGAGCTGTCGGCACAGGTAAACCATTATGCATGTGTGCCACTTGTGGCACAGGTGGTCCATTTGGTGTACAAAGAAAAAAACTCTGAACCTCCAACCGAATTCCGGAACTTCGAAACACATCACACGACCGCGCCCCGTCAACGATTATGTAAAACTGTAAAATACCTGCTGCATTTGTGCAAGCTGAGCTGTCTGCACAGGTAAACCATTATGCATGTGTGCCACTTGTGGCACAGGTGGTCCATTTGGTGTACAAAGAAAAAAACTCTGAATCTCCAACCGAATTCCGGAACTTCGAAACACATCACACGACCGCGCCCCGTCAACGATTATGTAAAACTGTAAAATACCTGCTGCATTTGTGCAAGCTGAGCTGTCTGCACAGGTAAACCATTATGCATGTGTGCCACTTGTGGCACAGGTGGCCCATTTGGTGTAGTAATTACAGTTGCTGCACCACTGTAAGGAGGCTGCTGAAGGGTGACAGGTGGGGCATGGTACTGCCGTGGTTGAACTTGGTAACCGTGCTAAAATAATTGCCACAATGCAAAGTACAAAAATTAAACACTGTTTTATCACTGTGCTATCTATCATTAAGATCCATTAAGGTTTGAACATAATCAATGAGCTTTTAATTTAAGAAAAAAGATCTGTTAGGAAGTTTAACGCAAAGAAACGAAAACAGAATACCACGCGAGTCAGAGGGATATTTATCAAAATCAGTTAAATTCGTGTGCTTTTGATGAAAAAAACTTTTTACTCTTTGTAGATTCCGTGAAAAATGAAATGATTGCGACAACTAGGTACCTTTTTTTGAAGAATATCCCTCCCTATTTTTTAACTTCATGGTAGGTGAGATGTAACTACTGCTCACTCCTTTTACTTTTTACGGCGGTTGAGCCGATGTTTACTCCGGCCCCATGTAAAAACATGAAGGCCAAATAATACAAGAAGCGTGTGTCATCAGTACAGTGCATCGACATTTCGATGAAGATTGGGAAAGAGTACCTTATTTCTCCAGCTTGTGATAATTTTTATTTCTTTTTACCTGTTGGCGCATTAAAAAACGTTACAATGGTCTTAAGACGTAGTCTTACATTGGTATATGACGTAGTAGAAACTTGGACTGATTGTTGACCAGTAGGTTGTGCTGTCTGAAGTGGGACGCCAGATTGTGCCAACACAACACCACCAAGGTTCGGTCGAGCCTGAGAATTTCCTTGAAGTGGGACGCCAGGCTGTGCCAATACAACACCACCAAGGTTCGGTCGAGCCTGAGATGTGCCTTGAAGTTGGATGCCAGGTTGTGCCAATACAACACCACCAAGGTTCGGTCGAGCCTGAGAAGTTCCAGACAGTATCTGCCTTGCTTGTCGATTAGGAAACTGAATCTGACCCAAATCAATTCCACCAGTGTCGCCTCCCAGGTTAAGCTCTAGATTTGCGTCAATGCTCAATTCGCCATCGCAGCTTAAACCTTATGACATAGGTTTCAAGTTCAAGAGTCAAGTTTATTGCTTTGCCATAAGATATGCAAAGCAGAAGAAGTTCTAAATCTTAAAAAGCTAATGGCGAGGAAGCCCAAAGGAAACCACCAGGATTACAGTCAAAAAAGGTCAAGCGTACCCCCCAAGATTCTATTAATGGGATTTTGGGGGGTACGCTTGACCTGGCTTGACTGTAAAAGGAATAGTCTCCCTCAAAAGCTACAGTAAATTTTATAATATATTTTTTTCCAAGCTTGCGAGCGGGCGGAATCCTCAAAATCCTGCAATCTGATTGGTTCCGCCGAGAGCAGGCGGTATTTTACGATCTTGGCCACCGTTGGCAGTTTCATTGCCAATTTTTTTTGTTTTTTGTGAATGAGAAAAACCGTCATTTTCAAACCATTTTTCTTTTAATGACTTACGCTGCTATTAGCATTAGCTAGGAAATTATTATTCAGACAAAAAATCTGAAGGTAGAATCAAGCAAGTCAGCCACGAAAACTGCTAAAGTAGGCAAAACAGGTGGCTCGTGATGTCGGTTCACTAGCTTTATAATTAACCGCGCTTAAGTACTGCAAGTACTTACAGTACTGCTTTTATGCACCATTTATTGGACATTTTTGCTCTGTTTGTAGTTTTGTTTTCCATTTTTTCTGTATGAATAGTCTAGATTCTGTCGTTTTTCATTGAATTTTGCCACGCTAGTTTTCTACTTATCAGAAAAGGTTGTTGAAGGCGGCTTTTGAACTTTAGAGTTCGCATGTTTGTGAAAAGCGCAGTAAAGCAATTTTTGAATTATTCAGCCGAAAAAAATCCTTGCTTTTTTTTCCTGGGGGTTTTAATATCAAGCTCGTCAATTCTGTTAACCTTGTTTGACGCCATCAGATTATAAATTGTCTATCAAGACACAAAAACCTTTCGTTATTCTAAAAGAGAGCAGTATAAGGGACCGTTCATTTTTCATTCAAGGGGGGGGGGCAGCCGAAAAAAATGAAGGAAAGGGGGGGGGGTCGGACGAAAAAATTAGATTAAAAATAGGATAAGAGATGTTTACAAATGGAAGAAAAATTGTGCTCTTTTATTTATAACAAATATGCTAAAACAGTTCCAGGGTAACAAGAAAACTTCTCAACAGCTTTTATATTTTATAAGGACAGTGAACGTACCATAATAACAGTCTTGAATAGCAACAACTTTCTTTTCATTCATAAAAATGTTGTTGTCAAGCTCATATAATTAAAACCAATAATTTGAGTCCTGAATTGGAACTGACCTCGTTACCAGAGCTTTTCTCTGAGAAATTTAATGGGAGGGGCATGAAACTACTACGAGGTGTCCCCTTCCTCATTTTCGACGTTCTCTTCGATCTCGTCGTCGCTGTGTTCCTCTTCTTCTTCCTCCTGTTCTTCTTCGTTGTCTTCCTCTTCTTCCTCTTCTTCGTCGTTTTCTTCTTCCTCTTTGTTCGTGTCTCCGACGTTTGAGCTATAATCTTCAGGATGCAGGAAGCAATACATCCTGTTTCTTACTTCTGGCTTAAGGTTGGTAATAAGCCTGCTTTGTGCCGCGTTGCTGAAGTAGCTTGATTGCAGTAGGTGAGCGGTGAATGCTGCATCCCGTGTTAGCAACAATGCTGCTACATCTTCAACGTTTATGCACGCTTCCGGAATTGTCATGGAGGGAGGATAAAGAAGACAATTGGGAAGCTCTTTTGCAAGGGGATTTGCAACGCAGATATGATACACGCGTAGGACGTTGTTTTCAAACCGTTTGCGTTTTCTACCCTTTGATTTCCTACGGTTTTGTTTTAATTTTCTTTTTTTTGACACATAGTGTCCTGTTAAGCCCTTGAAGACCTGGTCAAAGGTCTCCTTTTTTTCGAGGTTTTCTAATTCCCCTGAAACCTTGGCTGCTTCCACAGTACCACTACCTTCCTTATCAGCAGACCCCAAATGAGGGGCGTGATCCAGACGATTGGCAACCAAGAGTCCAGTTGAAAAAGGCACATGCCAGTGGTAGCGTAGTTTTGTCTGACCCAGAGAGCGTAACTAGATTTGGAGACAAATTCATTGTGAAACCAAAGTTTGTGGTTGACTATCTCCAGCATCTTGAGGTCATAGAGTTTAAAAAAAAGAAGAGACTGGCGGAAAGGGCAAGGGAAAGTAGGGAGGCAAGACAAAAGTCCTATGATGATTATCATTGGGCTACTTTGTGCGAAGATGCCGCCAAGCTAAAAAAGCTCCGTGTGCCAGAATTGAACAAATACTTACAACATCATGGGCTATTAAAACAGCATCAGAAGAGCAGCAAGAATGACAAAGTGAAGACAATTATGGGACACTTCCTGCAGATGAATACTCTCAGAACAGGTCAAGCCTAAGTGAGAGGCAGCAATGAATCAGGTCAACTAGACAGCAGTGGTGAAAGCAGTGAGGGAGAAGAAACTGATGATGATTACAAGAGTGATGCCCCTGACTCTGAAGACGACTCAAATGATGTCGTTCTTGCTTTTATCGCCTCAGACGAGGAATATGTAGACAAGCGGCCAGCTACAACACGCTCAGGACGAGCAGTAACAAGAAGAGCTGAAATTGACTTTTCATTCTTTTGAGTGAGGATTTGTTAAAAACAGCTTTCTAGCTTTCTGCTTTCTTTCACTAAATTACGTGAAATGTAACAAAACGAAATTTTAATGCAGTAACTTCTTTTAATACCTTATGTATTTTTTTATTCATGGGGGAGGCCTTCCAAAAAAAATTACTCTGATGAGGAGGGGGGGCCATGCGAAAAAAATCGGAAATTGGGGGGGGTCATACAATTTTCAAATTACACTCCTCCAAATCCCACCAGCCCCCCCCTACCCCATAAAAAATGAACGGTCCCTAAAGTGCAATAATATAAATTACAGAGCTAAAAATCATGTTGTAATGTTTTGTTTTGGTTTGCAATCGATTGCGCGCTTCATCAACGAACTCGTCCTACTTCAACACACATAGGTTGGAGAATGAAGGAAAATTTTTTTGATACTTTTAAATCTCTGCAGTAGGAAAAAAATAAAAATGTTATTCACCGACCTAGGTCGGTCCGTATTGGGAGAAACTGTGCCCTCTGTTTGAGTACCGCCCTAAAGGAACTCCCAGCCGGTGAATAACATATATATTATTAGATAATTAGTTAGGCTAAAAATGTCAAGCAAAGATAATAAAGAAAAGATTCCCATTCCGTTAACCAATAGAAAACGCGAACATTTCTTTGGCCCCCGTGTAAGGTGATCCAAGACAGTCTTGGATTATATTCTGAATCCCACGTTGTGGATTCCAGAGCTACTGGTTTTCGATTTTTTTGTCACTGGAACTTGGATTCCGGATTCCGGATTCTACCAGCAGAACTTTCCGGGATTCCAGAATCTGCATTACCTTGCTTGACGCAATTTCTTCAGAGGCCGAGCAGTCTGCTCGTTGCACTGTTCCCACACAAATATACAAAAGGATTTGTTACCTGAGAAGTCGAGTTGCAAATCCTCCATGGCTTACCTTGCCTGTATTCCTGGCACCTTTCAAAGGTGATTAATGTTCTGTAAGCTGTTATTTGCAAATAAACTACACGTAGATTTACACAGGGACAATATAAACAATCAAAACAATATTGAACTTGACGCTACTTATGACTTCACATCTCGTAACTATAGCAACCATCAGTCGATAAACATGTTCCAGGAGGAAAAAAGGGACCGCTTCTAAAGATAAATAATATTGAAAACAAAAAAGAAAAAAACGTTCTTTAGGGGTTGCCATCAACAGTACGTTCGATAAATTTGGCTCTTAAAATTCACGCAGATGTGGATCCGACATGCTTGAACGCTGTAACGTTAGTTATATTGACTGAATACTTTAACCACTGAATTTTTAGTCGAATTACTTCCTTAGTCCATTCGTCCTTTTAAGCCGCTTTTGCGTGTCACAGTGGCGCCGTAAACAAAAAAAGGCGAATAATAATAAATTTTAACTTGATTAAAAAACAGAATAACTGAAAAAAAGAGAGAGATCAAGAGCTACAGAAGAACTGATCTGTGCGGCTCATCCTGATACACCGGAAGTTATGTAGCTTGGTCATGTTCAATTTTGCCTTTGTGACAATCGATTGGTCTTTCCATTTGATTTCATAATGCCTACATGTCTTATAATTCTAGATTTTCTTAAGACTGAAAAAAGCAAAAACTGAAATGACTACTTACCAATAAGACTTAGCTGGCAGGGACAGTTCCTTGAGACTAGATTGCGCTTATGCACAGGAACGGCCAATCCGCAACTTGTGCTGCAAGGAATATTGGCTTTTAATGGAATTGCGGCTAGGTTACATTTTAAATGTCAACAATCACCTAGGAATGCATGCAGAAACAAATAAATAAACCAACAACGGACGCCAACACTAAAAGCTAGCCATATTACTGCTGGCGTTACAGTATTCTTGGTGAAACGACGGTGGAACGCAGTTGACGCAGTTGTATTATATAACATAAACAGACCTTTTAAAATAGCAGAAAGGCCACCTCACAGTTCCGGGTCTTCTGCGAAGAGTCATTATTTTTTGGAGTGGCCGACTGTATAATTTTTTTTCCAGGCAAGGGAAATTGTTTTTAGCGCAGTCAGTTGTCATTCGTTTGTTAAAGAACTGCACCTTTGATTTCTAAGTGTTTTTTGCAGTTATATTTAATATACGCAATAGCGATGATCCCATTAAGCTAGCAAACGAATTTGGCACCTTCTTCCTAAAAAAAATCGATATCCTTTTAGGAAAATCTTTACAAGTTTCAAGTTCAAGAAAGAAGTGTGTAATATTGTTCGAGAATCCTCCACTAATGCCTCTTGTCGGTTGGATCACGCTGTTCCTACTTGGCTAGTGAAGTCCTGTCTTGATGTATTAGCGCCCTCTATCACTGAGATGGTTAATCTCTCTCTTCTCAGTGGTCACATTCCAGAAAATTGGACAACCGCTCATTGATTGTCATCCCTCTGTTGAAAAAACCTAGACTTGATTTGGTCTACAAAAATTTCCGTTCAGTGAGAAATCTTCCATTCATTTCTAAGTTAGAGGAAACGGCTGCACTTCAACAACTTCTCGTCCACTTTGAAAAAAATGCTCCTCTTCCTAAATTCCAGTCCGGCGTCCGTAAGTTTCACTCGACAGAGACTGCCCTATTAAAGGTTCAAAACGACATCTTGATGAGTATGGATTATAGTGACACTTCACGTACTCTTGGACCGCCTTAGTGCTGCTTTTGATAGCTTTGAACATTCCATTCTTCCGAATAACTTGCAACAGGATTTTGGAGTCGTCGGGTCTGCTTTAAATTGGTTCGATTCATTTCGGTCTGGTCGCAAAGAACGTATACTTGTTGGTGATAAGACTTCTCACGACTTTAATCTGAACTGTGCAGTCCCCCAGGGCAGTTGCATGGGGCCTATTTTATTTACTCTCTACGTCTTCCCCCGGCCCTTTTAACATTATTCTCAACACCTCCATTCCATCCATGGTTATGCTGACGACACTCAGTTTTACCACTGGCACCCGTCAACAACTTGATAAAACATCTATTGAATCTATTACCATTGGTAACACGGTCATTAAACCTTTAGAAAGCGTCCGGAACCTTGGGTACTGGTTCAATGCACATATGCGAATGAATGTCCATATAGGCAAGATTTGTAGCAAGGCTTTTCGCGGACTATTCAGCATAAGACAGATCAGAACATTCCTCACTGTGCAATCGACAAAGACACTGATCCAAGCCTTTGTATCTTCGCACCTCAATTGCTGTAACGACTTCTTTTTGATCTACCGAAATATCAACTCGATCGTTTACAGAAAGTTTACGATGCTGCGGGTAGAGTGATTTTTCAGATGGCTAAATTTGATCATATCAGACCCGCACTTATCGACCTAGGCGCTGCATACAATTCCAGTAACTTTCCGAGCTCAATTCAAATTGCTCATTTTCGTTTACAAGTCCCTACACAAACAAAGTCCACCCTACATTAAAGATCTTTTGTCCATGAAACCAGCTGCTAATTATGCACTTTGCTCGTCTGCACAATCTCTCCTGTTCGTTCCTAAAGTCAACTGCTCTACACAGATAAACATGTACCGGTATTCTTGACTTATCCTAAACTTGACCGTTCTAATCTGGACCAGCTTCAGGTGAAAAAAAGTTCAGTTAAGCGACATTAGTTCTTCCTGTAGAAAGCAGTTCCCCAGAGCTTAGGAGCATGCTAAAGCTGATCATGCCTCCTCTAGTCGTTGCGCTAAGAACTGTGGGACGTATTAGACCACGCGGGTCGAAGTCATTAGAAAGGGTTCGTGATTCTCTAAAGTCTCTAATCAATATTTCGCCTTATGTGAGCAATGTGGGAATAATCTGTAACAAAAGTTGTTTCTAAGTCTATTTTGTTTCGTCGCTTTACCGTAAAAGTTTTTGTTAGTTGAAAATGCAACTGGGGAAAATATTCCTTTTCTGTTGTACCGCTTCCAGAAGCTTCCAATTTTCAAGCGTGTTCAAACTCAAGGATACGCCAAGTCTACGGTACAGGTAAGTCTGAATTGTCTTGGAGGCCCGATTAAACAACCGTTTTATCTGTACAAGACTTATTAATCCTCTGCTCACGGGGACAATATAAACAATCAAAACATTATTGAACTTGACGCTACTTATGACTTCACATCTCGTAACTATAGCAACCATCAGTCGATAAACATGTTCCAGGAGGAAAAAAGGGACCGCTTCTAAAGATAAATAATATTGAAAACAAAAAAGAAAAAAACGTTCTTTAGGGGTTGCCATCAACAATACGTTTGATAAATTTGGCTCTTAAAATTCACGAAGATGTGGATCCGACATGCTTGAACGCTGTAACGTTAGTTATATTGACTGAATACTTTAACCACTGAATTTTTAGTCGAATTACTTCCTTAGTCCATTCGTCCTTTTAAGCCGCTTTTGCGTGTCACAGTGGCGCCGTAAACAAAAAAAGGCGAATAATAATAAATTTTAACTTGTTTAAAAAACAGAATAACTGAAAAAAAGAGAGAGATCAAGAGCTACAGAAGAACTGATCTGTGCGGCTCATCCTGATACACCGGAAGTTATGTAGCTTGGTCATGTTCAATTTTGCCTTTGTGACAATCGATTGGTCTTTCCATTTGATTTCATAATGCCTACATGTCTTATAATTCTAGATTTTCTTAAGTCTGAAAAAAGCAAAAACTGAAATGACTACTTACCAATAAGACTTAGCTGGCAGGGACAGTTCCTTGAGACTAGATTGCGCTTATGCACAGGAACGGCCAATCCGCAACTTGTGCTGCAAGGAATATTGGCTTTTAATGGAATTGCGGCTAGGTTACATTTTAAATGTCAACAATCACCTAGGAATGCATGCAGAAACAAATAAATAAACCAACAACGGACGCCAACACTAAAAGCTAGCCATATTACTGCTGGCGTTACAGTATTCTTGGTGAAACGACGGTGGAACGCAGTTGACGCAGTTGTATTATATAACATAAACAGACCTTTTAAAATAGCAGAAAGGCCACCTCACAGTTCCGGGTCTTCTGCGAAGAGTCATTATTTTTTGGAGTGGCCGACTGTATAATTTTTTTTCCAGGCAAGGGAAATTGTTTTTAGCGCAGTCAGTTGTCATTCGTTTGTTAAAGAACTGCACCTTTGATTTTAAGTGTTTTTGCAGTTATATTTAATATACGCAATAGCGATGATCCCATTAAGCTAGCAAACGAATTTGGCACCTTCTTCCTAAAAAAAAAATCGATATCCTTTTAGGAAAATCTTTACAAGTTTCAAGTTCAAGAAAGAAGTGTGTAATATTGTTCGAGAATCCTCCACTAATGCCTCTTGTCGGTTGGATCACGCTGTTCCTACTTGGCTAGTGAAGTCCTGTCTTGATGTATTAGCGCCCTCTATCACTGAGATGGTTAATCTCTCTCTTCTCAGTGGTCACATTCCAGAAAATTGGACAACCGCTCATTGATTGTCATCCCTCTGTTGAAAAAACCTGGACTTGATTTGGTCTACAAAAATTTCCGTTCAGTGAGAAATCGTCCATTCATTTCTAAGTTAGAGGAAACGGCTGCACTTCAACAACTTCTCGTCCACTTTGAAAAAAATGCTCCTCTTCCTAAATTCCAGTCCGGCGTCCGTAAGTTTCACTCGACAGAGACTGCTCTATTAAAGGTTCAAAACGACATCTTGATGAGTATGGATTATAGTGACACTTCACGTACTCTTGGACCGCCTTAGTGCTGCTTTTGATAGCTTTGAACATTCCATTCTTTCGAATAACTTGCAACAGGACTTTGGAGTCGTCGGGTCTGCTTTAAATTGGTTCGAATCATTTCGGTCTGGTCGCAAAGAACGTATACTTGTTGGTGATAAGACTTCTCACGACTTTAATCTGAACTGTGCAGTCCCCCAGGGCAGTTGCATGGGGCCTATTTTATTTACTCTCTACG